GTGTCACGTTAACGAAACGTGGCCCAATTCGTTACGAGTACAGCAAACACCGGTTGGTGTGTTGGAGAGCAAATCCACAATATTTACAAAGCCTGCGTGTTAAACCTACTTTAAATAAATTAATAAAGGTGTCCAGTTTGGGCGAGGCATTGCCCCCCCCCCTTTCTCCCGCAAGCTCCGCCCATGAACAACAACAACTTTTGATTTGTGCCAGTTAAAAGGGTAAAACCTATTCCTATATCTTGTTACTGGCAAAGGAGGTCTCATAATGTAAATGCTCACCCCGAGCCCTCAATACTCTGAGAGTGTGCTGTTTTTGAGTTGTACGCCTTTTGGCGTCTTCTGGTCCAACACCAGTGGAGACTGGGCTCTAAGAAAAGCTGTCTCGGGTGTGGACCAATCAAATTCAAGGACAGTGCATATTATTATCAGAGTTGTCTTTTTTGCTTGCATTTTGACTGCTTGTGTTGTGGTTATTGCAAACATGATTCCTTGAATAAAAGATGTCAGTCTTTGTGCCAGTTAAAAGGGTAAAACCTATTCCTATATCCAACAACTTTCGATTTAAAGCTTTCGTGACTGCAGGGATTCATATTGTTGGTTCTTTCGGTAAAGTCACCACGTAGAAGGCAAACAATAAAATAATAAAAATATAAAACAATAAAATTCTCACGACGTTTCGACTGCAACACAAGCAATCATCATCATCAGGTGTGAAACCCACGGCAAGAAAATTTGATTTCCACACCTGATGATGATTGCTCGTGTTGCAGTCGAAACGTCGTGAGAATTGTATTGTTTTATATTTTTATTATTTTATTGTTTCCCTTCTACGTGGTGATTTTACCGAAAGAACCAAGAACATGAATCCCTGCAGTCACGAAAGCTTTAAATCAAAGGTTTCATGAATGTTTCGTTTTCATTGACAAATCCTCAGCAGCCAACAACTGGAACATTTAAACCGTTAACGCCCCCAAAAAATGGCCCAATTTTTCCCCACACGGCCAGACACAAGCAGCACCGTTGAAGGTGTTTAAAAATAATAAAGATAAAGAGAATTATCGTTCGCTGTGTCGACTGTACGCGTCTGTCGATTTGTCAACACGGTCGTGATCATCGGCAGCCAGGATTTATCTACTGCTCGACAAGACACGAGCGTGATAATAAGGTACTTATAATATTCTTGGTTCTTTCGGTAAAGTCACGTTGAAGGGAAACAATAAAGTAATAAAATATATGTTATATATTATTATATAATCACTGCAGTCACGAAAGCTTTAAATCTAAATTTAAAGGTACATATCGTGATTTAATTAATTCGGATACTTATTCTTGGTTTCGATTTTAAGCTTTCGTGACTGCAAGGATTCATCTTCTTTGGTTCTTTCGGTAAAGTCACGTAGAATGAGAATAAAATAATAAATTGATAAAATAAAATAACTCAATAAAATTCTCACGACGTTTCGGCCACAACACAAGCGGCCTTCATCAGGTGAAGGGATGAGACAGTCTGGTCTCGTCCTCCACACCTGATGATGATTGCTTGTGTTGCAGTCGAAACGTCGTGAGAATTTTATTGTTTTATATTTTTATTATTTCCCTTCTACGTGACTTTACCGAAAGAACCAAGAATACAACAACAACAAGGCTAATACTGTCCACTCGTCACGCCGACCACGCTATCGAGGAGGACGACTCCTCAGAGGCGCCACGAGGAGGAGGAGGAGGAAACACAGACGAGTCGGGCGGCGGAAGCAGCGAGCTGAAGAAGTCACGCGGTGCTGCCCCTTACGAGCTGCGAAACAATTGCCCGCACTCTGCGCTCCTCTATGCATCGAGATGTTTCGCTCCAACGAATGAGCGTTTTTTTTTGCGTGTGCTAGGAGGAAGCCGCAGTGACCCGAGAATGCCCACACCCCCCCGCCCCCCCCCCCCCCGTGCGAGTCAAGGGTAATTTGTGGTCACTGTGCCCGCTCTTGCCCTAAGGCGAGTCCCGAATCAATGCGCCACTTTATACCCCTGACGTTCACAATGTCGGTGTCGCATCATCTCCACTCGAGTTGGAACCCCCCACCCCACCCCCCCACCCATGCACCACCCTACTGCCCGATCCGTCAGCGACGGAACGGAGGTGGGAGAGACCGACGTCGTTTTGGCGAGGCAGACCCACGGCAAGCCCCTCGACACCCACGGGGAAGGGAGTTTCGCAGCATCCGTGTGTGATCCACTAACCCTGCTGCTGCTGCCCACAATGGTGGACTAAGTGCGGGCAGCTGAGGGCTGCATCGTATCGACCAGTACCGGGTGACCACCACGCCCGAGACCAAATCGAGACCCCCAAATAACAAAAAATACACGGACGCTGTTAAGGGGCCGTCCATAAATGACGTCATGCGATTTTGGACGATTTTTGACCCCCCCCCCTCGTCACACGGCGTCACAAAAAGTCAGACCCCCCCTCAAATATGACGTCACAAAGCTCTGCCCCCCCCCCCCCCCCCCCCCCACAAAACCATATTTCCATTTTGAAAATAAAAATGCTTCAAATCGCTATAAACTATTGTCATTGTAGTGCGTATTTAATGTAGCGCTGCACTCTGATGTTGTAGGAGAAAACATGTATTAAAAAGTCTTATTTAATTAAGCAGAACGTGTTGTCTATATTTATTTAAAGTTGCGCACTCTGATGTTGTAGGAGAAAACATTTATTAAAAAGTCTATTCAATTAAGTACAACGTGTTGTCTATATTTATTTAAAGTTGCGCATTTTGATGTGACGTCACATTTCTCAAACCCCCCCCCCCACCCCCTCGTCACACATCGTCACAAATGTCTGAACCCCCACCCCTAGGTGCGTGACGTCATTTATGACCGGCCCCATAATGCACCACGATCTATTGCGCCGGCGTCTGCTCGCGCGGTGAAGTTTCAGTCCGAACAACTCCGCCCCCCCCAGCCCCCACCGCGACCCGCACGCCGTGGGGAGGCACTCATCCAGCAGTGGATTGAGCAAGTGGGGCTGTTTTGCGCGGAGTAACCCGATAGCGGCGGGCAAGTGCCGTTAGCGAGCAGCACCTATGAAGGCCGGCACGGCGCACGAGGGGGGTGGGTGGCCAGCAACCACGCCCGGCCGCCTTTGTCTCCCCAGTGGCGATGTTTACTACAAAAACCGCACCAGGTACTCATTTGAGGCTGAGTCGACCTAGGGGAGGCACATGACCGGTTCAGATAATCGTCACCGTTGGTGTTGGCACGGGAGGCTAATTACTTGGCCACAAAAGAGGTGGGTTTTTTTTTCTCGGTTCGTAATTGTTGTGGGTTTTACTCTACAACACCCAACCGGTGCGTCTGTACTCGTAACGAATTGGCACGTTCTTTTTGCGTGACAAACTTTACTAATTGGCTGTGTCGGGTGGTGGCGGGTTTAACGACGCCACATTTATATTTACGCGATCTAACCTAACAGGTCCCTGCAGGGTGGGCTGGTAGGAACATTGGAATTTTTTTACACCCAACAGCACGAAATTTCAATTCGTTAAAGTATTGAAAGGGGACGGACGGACGGACACATTAATCTATTGCAGGCTGGTACACTCAGTTTACAACTTCGTTCCTACCAGTAAAAACATCCCTCTATTATGGATAATGTTGGTCGCGAAAGCCTCCTCCTACTCCGTGTTAGACTGAAAATCACTTGGTCCACCGGCTTATAATTGGCCAGTAAACACGGAACGTCCAGCCAACGTTGACACGGCCAATTGATAAACGATTTCACGTGACGAACAAACGTGGCCAATTACAAAGACAAAGATTCCCCCGGGATAGCCTTCACAGGGCCGTTGGGGCAAGTGCTGTTAGCTAGTAGCACCGACGCAGGTCGGAACGGCACACGAGGGCGTGGTGTGGCCAGGACTACGTCCGGCCGCCTTTGTCTCCCCAGTGGCGATGTTTACACACCGCACCAGGTACTCGACCCAGGGGTGGCCCAGAACCGGTTCGGATAATCGTCACTGGCGTTGGCCGTGAGCGGGAATCGACCTCGCCTGGCCGGGTTCGTGGCACAACGCGCTGATCACTGCGCCACCGCTCCCCCAACACCGACGCTACTACCCCTATGCGAAGACAAAGATCCCCCGTATAGCCTTCAACGTACCGTTGGGACAAGTGCTGTTCGCGAGCAGCAGTCACGCAAGCACGCACACGCACACAGCCTACATCTCTCTCGCAACCGCCCCTTCCGTGGCGCGCATTATCCCGTCGAGAAAAAGCCTTTGGCGATTTCGTCGAAACGAGCACGGAGACATCTCAGCAGGCCGCGCGCAACATCATTTCGACGTTACTCATCCGCGTCGGCGTCCATCTCCTCCCGTTTTCCAGCCCCCACCTAAGCCGGGAGGTGACAATTCCACCACCTGTCCATCCATAGGACAACCGCCGTTGATATTCCCATCGAGTGGATCTTCACTTAATCGACCGCAGAGGGATGGATGGAGTCTCTGAGCCGATTCCGCAAATCGGGATGCGAACTCGCGCAGAACCTTCGGATTTCCAGCTGCTCGACAGACTCTGAACCAGTGCGTCTCTAACCTTTACTGCAAGCCTCAAAACATGTAGAATGTTAATAAATACGGAAGGGTTTGACGAATCAAAGTAAGCTGTACTTACGTGCCCGCGGTTTCATTCGTGTTTCGATTATTTACCTTCTAACAAAAATCTGGCCATGTCGCACACCCCCCCCCACCCGCCCCAGAGAGGGCATCTCGCACTGACCGAAGTGTGCGCGCACCCCAGGCTAAGAACCGCTGCTGTAAACCACCACAGCAAGTACTCACTGGATCTTTCGCTAAAGTCCCTTGTTGTCGCGATCGAAACGTCGTGATCTATTATTATCATTATTATTTTCTACCTACGCGACTTTACCGAAAGAACCAAAGAGTATGGATTCCTGCAGTCACGAAAGCTTCAAATCAAGATTCCACCACAGCACGTTCGACAATTACCTTGCGATGTTTGGGCGGCGCTCTTCTCCGATGAACGAAGATTCCACGTTCCTGCGACGGTGGCCAGGGTCTATCCCGCTCGACACGCGAGCTCACGAGACCCGTGGCAGCGCGCGCCAGCCCCAGGCGCGCGATGCCACGGCACCAAGCGGACGCGTGCCCGGTGATGACTTTAATCGGGGTTGAGATCATAACGACCGCCAACACGTGATCCTGGAAGGATGAGGTCATGAATGAGTGGCTGGCCCAGTGGGGTGTGTGGAGTTTTTTTCTTCCACCCAGTCATAATTTCGACCGAATTCATTCCCTGAAACCAGATGTTTTATTCTTCGGGGGGGGGGGGTTCTTTTTTATATATACAGGGGTGCCTAAAAAAATGTCAACACATCTGAGAATTTGCAACACCACCACGAGGAATGTGCTGCTCCCTCCGGGCTCTGGAGACCACCTGTATAAAAATCCAGGCCACGTGTTGACAACGATGGATATTAACAACACACATTTGTTATCACGCTACAGTGTATTATCCGTTCTTATTCCATTAAAAGCGAGAGTCCCATGTAAGTGTTAACATTTTTTGAAGCACCCTACCTGCATCGTGCGGGCACGTGGTCCGCTCGCGAATAGAGGCCGCTGGAAAATGTTCAGAGCGCGCCAGAATGTAAGCGTGGAAGTTTTAAAACGGCGGGACACAAAGAAGAACACGTGGGCTTGGAGGCGCCGCTGGTTCATTAGCAGACCCGTGACTCGACGCGTTCACGACAGCGAGCGGCGCTTGGGATAGCCCCGCCACGTGGCCAGACACGTTGCGACGGTCGAGAGAGAGGGCCATTCGCAGGAGTGGCCACGCGACGAGCTCGTTGCACGGCTGCTGTGCGGATTGGTACAACGCGGCTCGCGCGAGGCCTTCATCCAGCAGTGGATTGATCGTGGCTAAATGATGTTTCGATGGTTCTGCTTGTGTCAATGGAGTCACGGTGCCCGTAAGAAGCTTTGGGTTTAACGCCAAGTGTGGAACAGAAGGTGGTGACTGATTTAAAAAAAAACAACGATACAAAACTTGGGGACTGTATAGAAATGATTTCATGGAATTTATTAAAACTGTAGTGCTATATATTCTTAGCTCTTTCGGTAAAGTCACGTTGAAGGGAAACAATAAAATAATAAAATATATAAAACAATAAAATTCTCACGTTTCGACTGCAACACAAGCAGTCATCATCAGGTGTGTAGTGCTTTTTATTGCATTCTGAGAAAACCCCTTGGCTCACGGGGTTCACAATGGTCAGGTCAGAGACACCGAGTTGGTGCCATTGAGTGCTGGGAACATGAGTTTGAATCCGGGTTTGGGCCGCCCTTGATAAAAGTGGTTTCACAAGTGTAGCGAGTGACAGATTACTCACAGAGACCCACAGACTTACATAGACACCCATAGACTCACAACTCGCATAGACAAGATTTATGATGAAACGTAAGTTCTCATTTATCCAATTGAGAACACACAATGAGACCCATAAACTATAACAAAAATTAAACAAGTGTGAGCTCATGGTCTCAGCCCTGTCAGTGACTTAGACACAGAGACATAGACACCATAGACACCCATAGACTCACACAGAGACCTACAGACTCACACAGAGAACCAATGACTTACATATACACCACTTACACAGACACAGCGAGGCTCGCATGGATAACTGACATTAAAACGCTGCAAAGGCGCAATTGCGAGTTGAATTACCTACATTTAAATAATTAATCATGCAATTCAGGCAAGCTATGATTCAGGCGAACATAAAAGCGTTGCGAGACACGTAATGGTACAGGGGAGCGTTGGTGGCTATCCCATTACGGACCATTTTCCCGAATTTAAAATAACTGTGATTATGCTGTACACAATTACGTCAATGGGAGTAACGCTGCAGCATTTGCCAAGCCATTGCGAAACCGACACCAACCGCCGGTGTCATTATATATATACTTTTTTTACGATTCCCAACTGAAGTTGAAAGAGTTCATTTGCGCCGAAGCTCTGCCCGTGTGGCCGGTGGCACGGGGAGTTAGAACTCGAGTGAAGATGATGCGACGCCGATGTTGCAAACGTTCGGCGTATAAAGTTGCGCTCCTATTCGGGAGTCGCCCGGCACAATAGCGGCCACAGTGACCACAAGTTTCGCTTCACGTGCGAGACAATAAAAACGCAGAGCCACAGGCGTATACATTGTATTTTCCCCTCCCCCCCCACCACAAATGCATTTTGCTCTAACAGCTAACCCGGTGGTCGGCTTTGACGCGTCCTGCCAATTCACTCCGTGCGAGGGCTTCATTTTTTTTTTAAAGTCCCCGATTGTCTGGAACCACAGGCAGCGGTTCGGGGCTTCCTTGACCACCGGCCAGTCCCAGCGAAGTCTTCCACGGTTCGCTCCACCGACCCCAGCACGGAAACACCACGCAGCGAGATGTTAACTCCCTCGCCTGATATACAGGAGGTCGTGGGTTCGATCCCGATCCAGACCTCGACGCCTGCTGCTGTTTATTTTGGCGTCTTGCAGCGTCTCTCTTCCCGTGGTCGCGTGGATTTTACTCCAGGTCATCCAGGCTTTTCCCCCCCTCTACATTTAGAATCAACGTCGCGAGCTCAAGAGCACTCGGCTCCAGAGACGCATATTGCCGACCCCTGGTTTAGAGTATTTGGCTCCTGCTATACATTTCCACGTGATAAGTCACTTCCGTTGCGCTATCATTCGTGATAGCCAGGTCTATTCTGAAAAAAGAGCTACAAAGCTCAGTTGGGAACCTTACCTGGTAAAATAAGTTTTAATAAGACGACACACACACAACCGGCTTGCCATTCGTAGTCAAGACTTCTACAAGAATGAACCACGACGTGATACAAAATCAAAGCACTCCAGCGTTTTTTTTTCTTAAAACCAGTTACTCATTTCAAAACTTTTATTTACAAAGTTTCTGCGTTGGAAAATGCAGACGGAGGAGAGAGGCATTCGCGCCATGCTGCGCCCTAGGCCAACCACCCGGCTTCCCCTGCTCCATGGGTTACCGCATACAAACCACAGCGTACATACATAGACACGTACCCTGCGTGTGTGTGTTTGTATATATGTACACACACACACGTATACATATAAAATTGGTCAGGGTGGATATTGCGACGTTGTGCTGTGTAGAATAACAAATAGTGGCGGCGAGGATAACGGACGCAGGATCAGATCATTGTCACACAGACACGGCCCACATCTGCCACTTGCCGTACTTTGCAGTTGCCACGAGCCATCGGGCAAGCGGTCGCGGTACCACACAGCGCACGCTCGCACGCACTCGCTAACACACACACACGTATACACACACACTCGCTCACACACACGTATACACACACACTCGCTCACACACGTATACACACGCACTCGCTCACACACGTATACACACGCACTCGCTCACACACACACACGTATACACATACACTCGCTCACACACACGTATACACACGCACTCGCCAACACACACACACGTATACACAAGCACTCACGAACACACGTACACGCACACTCGCACGCACTCGCTAACACACACACGTATACGCACACACTCGCTAACACACACACGTATACACACGCACTCGCTCACACACGTATACACACACACTCGCTAACACACACACACGTATACGCACACTCGCACGCACTCGCTAACACACACACACACGTATACGCACACACTCGCTAACACACACACGTATACGCACGCACTTGCTAACACACACACGTATACGCACACTCGCACGCACTCGCTAACACACACACACACGTATACACACGCACTTGCTAACACACGGACACGCACGCACTTGCCAACGCACGCACTCGCCAACACACACACGTATACCCACGCACACACTCGCGTACACAGACGTATGCGCATACGTTCAGTTCACACACACACACACTTGCGTACACACTCCACACGCATACAAACTCGCACACACGTCCGTGCACGCATACACACACACTCTCGCTACCACACAAGACAGGTTCGGAGCAATGCAACGTGCAAACCACGACACTACCGCTCCAGCCACACAAACACCCGCACACCCTCGCACACGAGACACACGCACGTATGCGCACACCAACAAAGACATACACACACACACACACTTGCGTGTATTCTCTCGTCACTCGTGGTGGGACAAGGGAACTCCGACGGGGCGAGGGGAACGCAGCCAACGGCGTCAACAACAGCGGCCATGCCGTCACGTCGCCGTCTTGCGCTTCTTGACGGCCGGCCGATCGAAAATGTCACGCACGCCGGCTGCCTTCTGCTTGTAGAACTTGGTGTTCTGCGCGTTGTCCTGGGCCCAGGCCGAGTCGAAGGCCGTGGTGTCCTGGTCCACCAGGTGAGTGTACTTGGTGCGGCCTGAGCGGCCAAAGTTCTTGACCTGCGGGCAGGCGGACGGGGACGGGCGGCCGGTGGTCGGCCCCCGCAAAAAACACTCGTCAGCGTTGTACGGAGCGGTCGCCGGGATCCCACATGTGATCACCCCCTTGCGTGCCTCCAACTCCGTACACGAGACCACGGTACACTCTCATCCCTCCGCTGGCTCCCAGCGCAATGGCGCATCGATTTCAAGATCGCAACACTCGCCGTCTTCAAGATCCTCCGTGGACTCTCTCACGCCTACCGCTCCCCTCTCATCTCACTCTGCTCCCATCCACGCACTCTCTGACCTCTCATCTCACTCTACTCCACCCCACACACTCTCCTACCGCTCCCCTCTCATCTCACTCTACTCCCCTCCAAGCACTCTCCTACCTCTCCCCTCTCATCTCACTCCACTTCCCTCCACGCACTCTCCTACCTCTCCCCTCTCATCTCACTCCACTCCCCTCCACACACTCTCCTACCTCTCCCCTCTCATCTCACTCTACTTCCCTCCACGCACTCTCCTACCTCTCATCTCACTCTACTCCCCTCCAAGCACTCCCCTGCCTCTCCCCTCTCATCTCACTCTACTCCCCTCCAAGCACTCCCCTGCCTCTCCCCTCTCATCTCACTCTACTCCCCTCCTATCATCTAGCCACTGGTCCCCACCACTCACTTACCTGATGATAGGGACAATGACAACAATGAGGTCGTGATCATGATGATGATGGCGATGATGAAGATGAGGTCTTGATGGTGAAGATAAGAGGATGAGGAGGCATCCGGTTCCCACCTGCATGACTTTGGGCAGGATGGTCTTGTCAAAGTGATCCTCAAGAGTGGGCTCCGTGAAGTCTCGCTTGTACACGTTCTCCTCTTCGTCCTGGGAAATTGCACAACAACAACAACCACGTCAACAACCACTAAAACCAGGTGGGGCTTGGTTGTACAAGCGGTGGGTAACACAAATCAACGCTCGATTATCCATGGGTGGATTATCCGGGTTGCAGAGTAAACGTCCTTGCGAAAACATTCAACGGAAGATACAGTGAGGGAAAAAAAGTATTTGATCCCCTGCTGATTTTGTACGTTTGCCCACTGACAAAGAAATCAGTCTATAATTTTAATGGTAGGTTTATTTGAACAGTGAGAGACAGAATAACAACAAAAATCCAGAAAACGATTGTCAAAAATGTTATAAATTGATTTGCATTTTAATGAGGGAAATAAGTATTTGACCCCCTCTCAATCAGAAAGATTTCTGGCTCCCAGGTGTCTTTTATACAGGTAACGAACTGAGATTAGGAGCACACTCTTAAAGGGAGTGCTCCTAATCTCAGCTTGTTACCTGTATTAAAGACACCTGTCTACAGAAGCAATCAATCAATCAGATTCCAAACTCTCCACCATGGCCAAGACCAAAGAGCTCTCCAAGTATGTCAGGAACAAGATTGTAGACCTACACAAGTCTGGAATGGGCTACAAGACCATTGCCAATCAGCTTGGTGAGAAGGTGACAACAGTTGGTGCAATTATTCGCAAATGGAAGAAACACAAAAGAACTGTCAAATCTCCCTCGGCCTGGGGCTCCATGCAAGATCTCACCTCGTGGAGTTGCAATGATCATGAGAACGGTGAGGAATCAGCCCAGAACTACACGGGAGGATCTTGTCAATGATCTCAAGGCAGCTGGGACCATAGTCACTAAGAAAACAATTGGTAACACACTTCGCCGTGAAGGACTGAAATCCTGCAGTGCCCGCAAGGTCCCCCTGCTCAAGAAAGCACATATACATGCCCGTCGGAAGTTTGCCAATGAACATCTGAATGATTCAGAGGACATCTGGGTGAAAGTGTTGTGGTCAGATGAGACCAAAATGGAGCTCTTTGGCATCAACTCAACTCGCCGTGTTTGGAGGAGGAATGCTGCCTATGACCCCAAGAACACCATCCCCACCGTCAAACATGGAGGTGGAAACATTATGCTTTGGGGGTGTTTTTCTGCTAAGGGAACAGGACAACTTCACCGCATCAAAGGGACGATGGACGGGGTCATGTACCGTCAAATCTCGGGTGAGAACCTCCTTCCCTCAGCCAGGGCATTGAAAATGGGTCATGGATGGGTATTCCAGCATGACAATGACCCAAAACACACGGCCAAGGCAACAAAGGAGTGGCTCAAGAAGAAGCACATTAAGGTCCTGGAGTGGCCTAGCCAGTCTCCAGACCTTAATCCCATAGAAAATCTGTGGAGGGAGCTGAAGGTTCGAGTTGCCAAACGTCAGCCTCGAAACCTTAATGACTTGGAGAAGATCTGCAAAGAGGAGTGGGACAAAATCCCTCCTGAGATGTGTGCAAACCTGGTGGCCAACTACAAGAAACGTCTGACATATGTGATTGCCAACAAGGGATTTGCCACCAAGTACTAAGTCATGTCTTGCAGAGGGGTCAAATACTTATTTCCCTCATTAAAATGCAAATCAATTTATAACATTTTTGACATGCGTTTTTCTGGATTTTGTTGTTGTTATTTCGTCTCTCACTGTTCAAATAAACCTACCATTAAAATTATAGACTGATCATTTCTTTGTCAGTGGGCAAACGTACAAGATCAGCAGGGGATCAAATACTTTTTTCCCTCACTGTGCGAACATTTATGACGGTATCAACCGTAAAAAACGTTTCACGGGGGATACAAATTGAGCAATCATTGGAAGGATGTTATTAACCAGGCAAAACCGTAACTGCTTTATGGTGTTGCCTTCATTTCCGCATCTCCTGTTGCTTCAGCTTCCCACTCCCAGCCCCACCCACTTCTCCCCCCCCCCCCCCCGGCATTGTCTGCTCGTCCTCTAAACGTTCTCGCAGCACCCCCCTCCCCCTACCACACCCCCCCCCCCTCTCTCTATATCTCCCCCCTTGCTCCTCCCCGCTCTCTTACCTCTTGTTACAGCAGCCCTTTTGCCCACTTCAGCAATTGTTTTCTTGCTGTGGTTGTCCCACCTGATGACGGACGCTTGTGTATCGCGCCCGAAACGTCACGTGATTTAATTGATTTTATTTTACAGCTACGTGACTTCACGGAAAGAACCAAAGACAATGGAACTCCGCTCGCCAGGTCTTTCGCGCAGCGCCCCGGCCACCGCCACCGCGACCGCTCACAGTCCCCGTGGGCACGGCTCCCGTGCAGCGGCGCTCACCATGAAGAAGGCTCCGCGGTGGTAGTACTTCTGCAGGAACTTGTACTTGCCCTTGGACACGCGATTGGTGATAACCTTGGGGTTGGCGCGCAGCTCCGCCCGCCGCTCCTCCTCCGTCATGGTGTGCATGCGGTCCAGCTCCAGCTTGTCCTTCTCAGCGCTGCGCAGGGGGGACCCCACGGACAAAGCAGCCCGCCCCCCCCCCCATCAACAACAACGCACGACGGGAAAGGGGAAAACGCAATCGATGCGCCGCGTACAAGCAGGGAGTGGCGGGGCGAGGGAGGGGCTTCGCCAACCCGCTTGCTGTGCTGCCAACTCGCGGCCCAGCCCGTTCAGCAAATCTCTACGCGATTCACCAACCGTGGCCTACACAGTGCTGGGTCACAGGCATGCACCACCATGGCTAGCTGCCCTCAGAGATGATGGCATCGGTACAAGTTTACCGCAACCAGTTTAACATGCACCATCATGCGCTCCGTTTCTCTGTATACCCTGTGCGTGTACTGCACCTCCCATTAGCATGGTTGGCTATGGACAATGTGAAAGAAGTTCAACATATATATATGTGAGTCCGTGTGTGTAGTGCCCTGTACTTTGTACTGCCCTGCACACCTGTTGTTCTGTGTGTGCGTACTCCGTGGGTACGATGTGCTTAACGCTGTGCTCGCTACGCGATAACTCTGCATACCTGGTATGCCGACTGTATGTATACCCGTACTTTGTGTGTACAACGAGTGAGTAGGCCGCTGTGTACCGGCGTCACGGGCACCACATTTTCCAACTTTCCTGCGGATTTCTCATTTGGGAGAAGACACAGCAATGAACGCCTCCTACGGCAGAACTACTGCAGACCGCGTCTGTGAAACATCGCAGCGCCTTTGCGATAGCCTGACGCTATGAGAATAAAGCAAAATCCAAACGTGTTCATGAGCTTACGATGCATCCGTGCGTGTGTGGCGAGTGCCCTGTGCATCTGCCCGTCATCAGCGACGATTGTATGAACCAGTCCTGGGCCTCACCACAGGTCGACTCAGCCTTAAGCGAGTATCCGGCGCGATGTGGAAACATCGCTGCTCGGGAGACAAGAGGCGGCTGGACGCGGATTCGGGCCGCACCAACCCCCTCGTGCGTCGCGCCGGCGTTCACAGGTGCCACTCGCTCACAACACTTTCCCCAACAGTCTGTTGAAGGCTATACAGGGGGATCCTTGTCACTATTTTTGTCTGTGCGTGCGCTCCCCGTGCCGTGCCACTCACGCCTCGCGCTCCTCGCGGTCCCGCTTGACGCGCTTCAGCTCGCGGACCTTCCACGTCTCGTACTCCTCCTCGTCGTTCTCGTTGTCCGTGTCGATGGTGTCGAGCGCCGCCAGCGTGCGCCGGTTCTCCTCGAACTCGCGCCGCGCCTCCTCCTCCACAATCTACGTCCGTCACCGCGCGCACGAAGAAAAAAGACGACCGCGGCTGTGATTTAAATTCGCAAAAAGGTGAAGCGGCAGCCCTGCTTGTGCCTGCTCACGCACCAGCCGGTGGAAGGGCCTCCCACCACCGGCAGGTCTATAAAGCGCCCATCTGCGGCCGCCGATGCTGGTTGCGGTGGTGGCCACGGTGGTGGTGACAGCGGCGGTGATGGTGCTGCTGAAAGGGGAATGCTGGAAGTGGCGGCAGGCAGTGAAGGTGGCGACGGCGAATTTTTGGTGGCGCCGATGCTGGTTGTGGCAGTGGCCACGGTGGTGATGCCGGTGGTGGTGATGGTACTGCTGGTGGGGGGTGGTGGCAGCGACGGTGGTGTCGGTGATGTTTGGTGGCGCCGATGCTAGTTGCCGTGGCCTTGCTCACCTTGAGCGAGTACTTGCGCCGCTCCTCCACCACGCGCTTGTTCTCTGCCTCCTGCTCCTTCTGTTTCTGGGTCTGCAGCTCCTTCTCCTGCACAGTGAGGCGCTCCTTCCTACCGCGCACGCACGCACGAGATCCCCTTATAGCCTCAACAGATAGCGAACATCTGTTAAGGCCGGCACTATACTCAATCAAGACAGAACCGTGCGTGGTGTGGACAGTACCATCGATGGAGCAGCAGACAATAAAATAGGCATTGGGACAATGTGACGTGCAATTCAGCAAAGTGATGCATGACACAGTGGACAATGCAGTGTTCAATGAGACGGAAATTGCCACAGACAAGACAAGGGAAAAGACAGGAGAAATGTAACAATTTAACACAAAATGCAGCAAACAATACAAAAGACAACCGAGTAGACTGGATCACAGACAGCCAATGCAATAGACAATACAAGAACAACCGCCATTCGCCACTAAGTGGCGGTGACGTCACCACGGCACTTGTGCCGGGCTATGTGCACGTTGAGGCCACGTGAAGCTTCGAAGGCTCGCTGACAGGAGGTCACAAGGCAGACCCAGCAGGTGCCACACAATGGGACAGACAACGCAGTCGACAATGGGATCCACAAGACAGCAGATCATAGAAAACGGGTCAATGTCCTAAACGGATGAACATCGCTTGAGCAAATGCTTGGCGAACAACGCGACAGGTACGGGGACAGACGACACGGTGAGACAACGCGGCGGACAATGTGACGGGCACGGACGACACGGTGAGACAAGGAGGCGGACAACGCGACGGGCAAGGGGACGGACGACGCGGCAAGACAACGGCTCCGTACTTCTTCTTTGGTTCTTTCGGTAAAGTCACGTAGAATGAGAATAAAATAATAAATTGATAAAATAAAATAACACAATAATATTCTCACGACGTTTCGGCCACAACACAAGCGGCCTTCATCAGGTGAAGGGGGCGAGACTGTCTGGTAGGACAGTGCTGGAGTGAAAGAGCCACGTTCAGATCACGGCCTTTAAGCTGTGTGAGAGGAACAAAGGGCCCTCAACTTTAGCACCACGGCTCCGTACTTGCGGATGAAGACGGGCTTCAGTAGCGGCTCGGCCTCCTCCTCGCTGTCCGTGTACTCCTCGTACTCCGACTCGGAGCCCGACTCGCCGCCCGACTTCGCCTCGTCCTCCACGTCCAGCAGCTCCGTCTCGTCATCCTCGCGCTCCTTGGCTCGCTCCCGCATCAGGGTGCGCCGCCGCTCGATCTCCTGGGCACCGCCGCCGGACACAAGGGGGGGGCACGTGAGCGGGGATCGTTCGCTCGCTAGCGGAAGAGCATCGTGGCGGCGTGGTCCTCTCTTGTCTGACGACGACGCTGCCGACGACGGTACTGTAGCAGCGGGTCCACTGCGAGGATGAAGCCAGTCGACGTTTGCCCCTTTGTTTGACTGCTGCCTCAAGGGATGGGCCCACACTTTCAACTTATTTGAGTTGGTGTGGCCTAAGCAATAATTCGGCAGCTCTATCAGTTCTCTTTTGAAGTTGGTGGTCATATGACATGCATGCAAGGCATGATGGTAGCCGTGCCTTGCTGGTCTTTAGTGAGTAGCGCACCGATAGGGGTTGTCATTTCCATGTTCCCGGCCTGTGACAATTTTCCTGCCTTTGTAGGTTTTTCTCATTATTTGCATCAAGCGCTGGATTTAAATTTGCTGACCATATCACGCCTTGTGTGCATGTGTAGTGACTGTGAATGTCACTGTGTGGTGCCGGCCTTGCGAGGCGACGGCGGATAATGTTGTCATTGTGTGCATCCCGGTTACTGGGTGTAGTACCAGCCCTAGCGGGGCTTGGGGGAACGCTGGTTAGCGCAGAAGCACCATGTACAGTGCGCGGTGCGGGCTCCCGGTGAGGGAGCGAGAGAGAGCGTCAGCCAGCCAGGGTTACGTTGGGGCATGATACGCTGGTTGACCTGCCGACACGTGACCGGATGATATTGGAGGGGGGCCACCGGTGGACAGGGGCCGCTGGGTAGTCACGTGGTATAGCAGCCTTCGGGAAAGAGCTCCAGAGATCTAGAAGGTGGGCGGAGGCGGAGGTGGGCGGAGGCGGAGCCAACCCCAGCCCGGTCCGATATAACGGGAGCCCCGTGAGGGGCTCGGAGTTCTTGACTGTTGGTAAGTGAAGATCCACGTCGGGTTGAAGAAGCCTCTAGCCACGCGGTCGGGGACCCAGCTCGTGGTCCGGACCGGGATAGCGGGACCGTGTCTAGTTCTGCCGTAGCGTGGTTAGATCGGCGTTCAACACCCGAGTGTAGGTTACGTTATGTTGTGTTAGGTTGATGGAATAAATAGTGTTGCTCCCAAGACAACGTCTGCGACTCAGTTGGACTCACTACACATGCAACTGTGGCTGTCGAGATCGACGTAGTGTCTCTCATGGCGGTTACACTTAGCGACTGACATTTACAGAAGGGTGGTGGTTGCTGCTTGAGACTTATCTTGTTCGCAAAGTTGTCCATTGTATTTTATAATAATAGATTAATCCCCCCCATGCCCCTCTGGTCTTCGCACCGGATTGGATCATAAGTGACGACATCGCATTTGTCCCTCTATTTAAGATGAAAATAGGGAGGATTTTTCCACAAATCTGGCTGTCGCCTGATGATGCTGGTTGTATTTACCGACGAAATGTCGTACTCGAATTGTAAACCTTGTGGGTTTACTCTCCAACACTGGTGTGCTGAACTAGTAATGAACCGTACTCATTAGCTGTGTCGGGTGGCGGTGGGTTTAACGACACATTTATATTTATGCGATCTAACCCAAAAAAAACCTCTATCATGGTTAAAGTTGTCTTTTTTTCTCAATATAGGAACAACGTTGTTTCTAAAACCGTGCCCTGCCACTCCTAATTGTTGAACCCACGTGGCCTGTTTGGTGCTATTGACTCACCAGCTATCAACGTTACTACAGGAAAATATAACAAAAAAACTGAAATAGGACCACAGACTTGAGACACTGAAAAAGGATACCATATGAAAGACAGACGCAATAGAGATTCGAGGTTTTAGGAGGATGTTGAGAAAAGGATGGACAATAAAAACAAAGATGTGATAAAATAATTGGGACATCGGCATAGAACGATGCAAGATTTAGTCAGAGAGAGGAACGTGGCATGTCCTGCGGACGTGTTAAGTAAGGCTCACGGGGGGGAGCCTACTCCTCCTACCTGGGAAAAGAGAAGGCAAAAGGGACAATAGGAAGACAAAGATGGATATGGTGGGATTCCATTAAGGAAAGAAAGAAGATGCAATTCACAGGGCTATGGAGATGCAGGGCAGGAGTAGAGGGAGACCGAGGGTGATAAGGGAGAATGTGGTGGAAAGAGATGTGAGAACAGTAGATGTGACAAGAGAAGAGGCACATAGTAGAAGCACATTGGGGAGGAATCATCTGACCAGCCGACCCCACGCAGTGATGGGGCCTCTAGTTTAGAAGTAGGAACAGTTCACAGAAGCCTGCATTGGTGGCTATGGCTGCAGTGAAGGGTCCACCCACCTCGTCATCAATCTCCTCCTCCTCTTCCTCGCTTGTGTCCTCTCGGTCGGCGAGAGGGATTCTCCTATCGTCATCATCATCGTCGTCATCGTCGTCATCTTCCTCCTCTTCCAACACCTCCGGCTCGACGATCTGCCGGTGCCGGGCCAGCCTGCGTGCCGGCAAAAGCGAGCAGACTTGTTACAATTGCTCGATTAAAACCAATTTTGAAGCTCGCGCCACATGCGTTGAATCGCGCGTTTGAATAAACTATTCATGATATATGCCACACGGAAGTTAGTTACTGCATGTTGCCACCAGCAAAAAATTGAGGGAAATTTTAAAATGAAAGTACAATAATAAACGAATAACCAGTCCTACTTATCTGCATAAAAAAGTTAATGTGTATATTTGTTGTCGGCCAATCTGGAGTTTTGAGCCCTGGGAACATGTCTCGACTGTCCCTCCCTCCGCTAAAGTTGGCTCTGGCACGAACAGCATGGCATCTGGAAATACAGTCCTGCAATTCATCGATTTAACCGTCAAGTGATGAAAATCACTGTCGGCGAGAGAACTGCGTGGACCGGAAATTGCTTGAAGGGATCTCGGAAGTGATTCAGCGATATCCGCTTCTGCGGGCAGTTCTCTAACACAGGGGCACGGGGGGGGGGGGGGGGCTTTGCTCCAGCCGCACACCTCTCCTCCACGTCGTCCTCCAGCTGCCGCGCCTGCAGCCGCTTGAGTCGAGCGTCGTTGGCCGCGGTGGAAGAGGAGGAGGAGGAGAGCAGCGCTGGGGGGTCGCGCTCCGCATCGCGATCCGCCTCCTTGGGGAGGCGCCGCAGCTTGAAGTCGTCCTCCCCCTCCTCTTCGTCGGACGACTCCATGGGAGCATAGTCGGGCCGTTTGCCCGAGATGTAGCGCTTCACTTTCACTTTCTCCATGGAGAGCTCGCCTGGGAATGGAGATCGAGGAACAAGCAGTGGTTGGAGTGGCGATGCAATTATTCCACGAAAAAGTCGATTAATTGCTGCTCCGAGATTACAATTCCATTCAAATGAGATTCTGTTTGAGTTGTGATTGATATTTGTCCCACATTTATTTCTGTAATCTCGATTGTGCCATTAATATTACGCCATGAAGCAAAGCATCAATATGGAACTCTTCCAGGCCAATGCAAGTTTTCATGTTAGGGAACAGCTCACAGAAGCAGATACCATAGAACTATATCTGAGATCCCTTCAAGTGACCTCTGTTCCACAGAGTAACGGGTACAAAGAGTAGTGTTCCTCGGGTGACAGTCAAACCAATATATTTTATTGTAATATTTTGAAGATAGCCAAATTAGGTGCAGAATTAATGTAATGTTATGGAATGTGTTTTACGTCATTGGGGACCGGGCTGAAACCATCAACTCAATGCACTCGATACATGCATCAAATTGTGCAAGTGAGAATGCTTATTGATGCAAATTCACCCACCCGGAAATTAAATGCATTGTACCGATTAAGGCTCGCTAACTGATTTAAGTAATTTAAACGATGTTTCTTTCATTTGAACACTTGTGTTTGCTCCATTGACCTAAACGACGCAGAGTATGATTTATACAGTCAACATCTAACAGGGTCGACAATGCATACTTTGCAAACGTAAGTTCAGGTTTTAAACAATGGACTGATACATCAGTATATAAACTAAGCACTACGACAATAATTTAACATGTAAATAAGGGGCCATCCATTTAGTCCGTATGCATGGAGGAGGGGGCCCAAATGCGTACGCTTGCGTATCGGGGCATTTCGTGAACAGTTGCTGGAAACGGGGGGGGTGAAGCCTCGATAATAATTTGTCTACATTGGCCTTCAAATTAGTTAGATAGTCCGGCGGTGGACAATCTGTTTGCTTAAACACGTTAATATTATTAATATTTGATCGTTTCTGCGTGGATTAAAAATCGGCCGTTCTATGGGACTCGGGTGGGGGGGGGGTGTGCAAGCGTTCGTACGCAGGTGAGGGGGGGGGGGGGCAGGGGTCAAGTTTTGAAAGATTTTTGCGTACGCACTAAATGAATGGGCCCCTAAGACAATGTAAGTTCCCGCAATGATCCATCGATGCCTGGGCTTGGATCACCGCCCGTCAACACCACCCCTTGTTCAATCCACTGCTGGATGGAGTTCTCCCGACGCCGTGTCGCTCACGAGGGTGCCGATTAACCCCACGCGCTTTACCACACCGGCCAGATCGGGTTGGTAAAGCGTTAACCGTGACCGGGGTTCGAACTCAGCTCGCCGGCGGGTTCGTCACGCGTGTGCTAATCACTGGGCCACCGCTCCCCACTAAAGTGGACGTTTCGGGTGACATGGCACGGTTACGTTGCGGGGTATTTCGTGAACAGTTGCTGGACTCTGCGACTTTACATTTCCATTGCAGACACGGACGACCGACGCGCGTTTGACGCCCTGAGACATTAGTGGAAGGCAGGCCTTAACAAATAAATGTAAATTACTGCTGTTAATATTAACGTTGCAAATACATTTTTTTTTGGTTTAAACCCCGCGAAGTTAGGGCCTGGTCGCTCAGGCCTCTAGGCTCACCCTTCTCGTTGTACACGGGCACGGCTCCCGCCGTCGACTGAATGGGCACGGGCCGCGGCCCATGGCTCGTCAGCGAGGGCATGGCCATGCTGGAGGTAAAACAAAACGAAGTAAAACGACAAATAACGACGACGAAGGCGTCGATTTAAGTGCCGAGGGTTTGGGTAACCGAGGCGAATCTCAGGCTAGTCCCAAGCCTGCACCGCCACCAGGCCTCAACGCGGCGATCACGTGACTACGGAAGCTGCGACCGCGGTAGACTGGGGGGAAGGCGATTTAATATTGAATACGAAATTTATATATACGTCACGATATTGAATATATCATATTGAAAACGATATTATATATGCGTGACGATATTTAATATATAATAATGAATACGAGATTAGATATACATCACGATTTTTTATGTATAATATTTAATACGAATACAATATTGTATATACATCACGATATATATTGAAAACAAATACGATATTATGCCTACATCACGATATTTAATATATAACATTGAATACGAGATTGTATATACATCACGATATATAATATTGAATACGATATTATATACACATTACGATATCACGATAATCGCGATATCGATTCAAATTGAAGTCAGCAATTTGTCGTTGTGAATGTTTGTTTTCTTTATTGTCCATCTCGTGTGGATTTTATTTTTTGTGCACTCCTAATAGAGAATGAAAAAAGTTCACGGGCAAGTTTGTGAGCCCCCCCCCCCCACCGGCGGTACAAGATGGTTGATTGACAGGTGGTGAGTGGTGGGGCAATGAGTGGCTACTCCCAGCTCTTCCAAGACACCTGGGCAGTGCCGGATTAACATAGTTGCATTGGTAGCTACAACACGTGTAGTAGTAGTGGCTACAACACGTGTAGTAGTGGCTACTACACGTGTAGTAGTAGTAGCTACACGTGTAGTAGTGGCTACTACACGTGTAGTAGTAGTGGCTGCAACACGTGTAGTAGTAGTAGCTACAACACGTGTAGTAGTAGTAGCTACACGTGTAGTAGTAGTAGCTACACGTGTAGTAGTAGTGGCTACACGTGTAGTAGTAGTAGCTACACGTGTAGTAGTAGCTACATGTGTAGTAGTAGCTACACGTGTAGTAGTAGTAGCTACACGTGTAGTAGTAGTAGCTACACGTGTAGTAGTAGCTGCATGTGTAGTAGTAGCTATATGTGTAGTAGTAGTAGCTACACGTGTAATAGTGGCTACTACACGTGTAGTAGTAGTAGCTACACGTGTAGTAGTAGCTACATGTGTAGTAGTAGCTATATGTGTAGTAGTGCTACATACGTAGTAGTAGTAGCTACACGTGTAGTAGTAGCTACACGTGTAGTAGTAGCTACACGTGTAGTAGTAGCTACACGTGTAGTAGTAGCTACACGTGTAGTAGTAGCTACACGTGTAGTAGTAGCTACATGTGTAGTAATAGCTACGGGCCCCGCACTTTTAAGGGCCCCGCGCTAAATGCTTTCAAGCTATCAATTCCGGTTCGGTGATTCTCCATTAGTTATATTACTATAGTACTATACCGCCTTCAACTTTTACGAACGACTGGGTGTTTAAGGTTAGCGATTTGTCGCATTATCTGGCTGTATAGAAAATGAAAAAAGTACAATTGCTTTACTACGCAAGTTAAAAATTTCGTGTTTTAATATTTTTTTTGTTTTTATTTAATTTAGGGCCCCTTTATAACATCATGCTACAGCCCCCCCCCCCCCCCCCACAAGCTTCATCCGGCACTGCATCTTGGGGGTTCCACTGCAGTCGTGACAATTGTCATTCCACCCCCCTACCCCCCCCCCCCCCCTTTGGACGGTAATCTCCAGCGCCCCCTCCAGCGGATAAACCTTCCGCTAGCAGAACGGTTACCGGTTTAGCGGTTATCCATTATCAACCAGAACCGTTTACATAAACTTTTACCGCGGCCTTGCAACAACTTTTGGTTGTCGATTCTTAAAAAAAAAGTGTACAATGTTAATAAATGCACAGGGTTTGGTGAAACAAAGTTGTCACTTAACGTGGCAGTGGCTTTGTTTGTGCTTTCGATTATTTACCTTCGAAAGAAGATCTGGCCATGTAGCTATTTTTTTTTCCCCCCCACAAACTTTGCTTTTGTGGCCAGGACAGTGATATTTTGAAATGTTCCTATTTGCAATGATAAAACGCGGTGTGCATTTGTGTCATTCCTTCACGTAAAGTCCTGCTCACAAAAGCAAAGTTTGTGCGGGAATAATAATAATAACAGCCATTTTCTATACTTTTGAGGCATAAGCAATTAGAAAATAGCATTTACTACCCAGGAACAAAGATCGTGTTACATCGTGAATGATCAACTGTGATCTGATTCTGTATTGGTGCAGGGGGTTGGGAGTGGGTGGTGGTGGGGGGGGAGTAGATGCGGGACTGGGGTGGGGGCGAATGGGGCTGTCACCAATGCGACTCCACGTGTCTACGGTACCAATTTGGACTCCACGTGTCGCTTGCCAAGTGAATGGATATGAGTGAGGAGCAGATACTCGGACGGGTTGTTAGGGCGAGTCGAGTCAGAGCTTATTACACTCACGCCCATACACAGACAAAGACAACCCCCCCCTCCCCAACTGTTGGGGCAGGTTCTGTAAGCGAGCACCTACATATATACACACACACAGTGCACGTACACACTTTTACATAACGAGTAGGGGGCCGTCCATAAATGACGTCACGCGATTTTGCACGATTTTTGACCCCCCCCCCTCGTCACACGGCGTCACAAAAAATCAAACCCCCCCCTCTCAAATATGACGTCACAAAGCTCTGCCCCCCCCCCCCCCAATAAACATGCTTCAAATTGCTTTAAACTATTGTCATTGTAGTGCGTATTTAATGTGGCGCTACACTCTGATGTTGTAGGAGAAAACATAAAAAAGTCGATTTAATTAAGTACAACGTGTTGTCTATATTTATTAAAAGTTGCGCATTTTGACATGACGTCACACTTCTCAAACACCCCCCCCCCCCCTCCTCGTCACACATCGTCACAAATGTCTGACCCCCCACCGCCCCCCCTAGGTGCGTGACGTCATTTATGGACGGCCCCCAGGTACAAATACAACAACCGCTATTCGCCACTAAGTGGCGATTACGGCACCACGGTGCTTGTGCCAGGCAAGGTGCAGATTTGAGGCCACGTGAAGTGTCGAAGGTTCGCTGGCAGGTCACGGAACAGACCCAGGTGCCATGGGTTGACTGGTGGATACACCACCTGCATACACAAACAGACTTACACGTTCTCTTAGGGGATGTCCATAAATGACGTCACGCACCTGGGGGGGGGGGGGGGTTGGTCAGACATTTGTGACGATGTGTGACGAGGAGGGGGGGGGGTGAGAAGTGTGACGTCACATCAAAATGCGCAACTTTAAATAAATAAAGACAACACGTTCTACTTAATTCAATTGTCTTTTTTTAAATAAATGTTTTCTCCTACAACATCAGAGCGCAGCGCCACATTAAATACGCACTCCAACTGCCCAGTAGCAGCGTCCTTCACGAGCCTCCTCCACAGAGGCCGATCTTGACACCGGTGGTACCAGTCATCGGCAAGTCCACTCAGCTCCACGTCCTCCTGTACCACATCACTCCATCTCTTCTCTAGCCCGTGCCGCGCCCGCTTAGCCCCCTTGATCCGGCCGAACAAAAGCTGTTTCGGCATGCGGTGGCTGGGCATGCGGGCTACATGACCCAGCCATCGCAGCCTTCCCCGCCGGAGGAGCTCACCGATGGGACCTTGCCCAGATCTTTCAAGGATTTGTGAGCTCCTCACACAATCCAGTCTGGTTAAACCCAGGATGGATCGTAGGCAGGCCAGCCTAAATGTTTCCAACCGCCGAAGATGTTCCACTAGGGGGGTCCACGTTTCGCAAGCGTAGAGAAGGGAGGGAATGACCGTGGCCGAGAAGACCTGAAGCTTAGTGCGGAGCGACAGACCAGGTAGCTTCCACACAGCGTTACGCAACTGATGAAAAGATATTGCCGCTCGACTGATTCGGAGTGAGACCTCTGCTGTTAAACTGGAGCCGGTCATACACACACATACACTAACACACACATACACCAACACACATACACACACATACACTAACACACACATACACTAACACACACACTTACACCAACACACATACACACACACACTAACACACACATACGCACACATACACTAACACACACACCAACACACATACACGTACACCAACACACGTACACCAACACACATACACACACATACACTAACACACACACACACAAAGCACACACAACCACACGCACTCTCTTACACAAGCGTACACGAAAGTCGTCGTCGCTTGCGGCTCCGTGATTCCTGTTTGTCCACACTTCGAGGACTCAGAGGAAACTCGGCCTGACGCTGCAGAGTCGACAGACCGACAGACGGGAGAGCTGACAGACAGCATGGAGACCATCTCAGAGTTCCTGTCTGACAGCCAAGCGAGGGAGAAGTTGATGAGGTATGGTGTCTGTCTGTCTATGTGTGTGTGTATCTGTGGGTGTGTGTGTGTGTGTCTGTGGGTGTGTGTGTGTCTGTGGGTGTGTGTGTGTGAGTCTGTGTGTCTGTGTGTGTGAGTCTACCTGTGTGTGTGAGTCTGTGTGTGTGTCTGTGTGTCTTTGTGTGTCTGCGTGTGTGTGTGTGTGTCCATGCGTATCTATGTATGTGTGTGTGTCTGTGTGTGTGTCCATGCGTGTCTATCTCTGTGTGTGTCTGTCTATGTGCGTGAGTCTCTGTGTGTGTGTCTGTGTGTGTGTCTATGTGTGTTTGTCTGTGTGTGTCTGTCGGTCTATGTGTGTGTCTATGTGTGTGTCTGTATGTGTCCATGTGTGTGTGTCTGTGTGTGTCTATGTGTGTCTGTCTATGTGTGTGTGTCTATGTGTGTGTGTCTGTGTGTGTCCATGTGTGTGTGTCCATGTGTGTGTGTGTGTGTCTGTGTGCCGGGAAAGGTCCTGGCAAGGATTATTCAACATCGCCTTGTCAGGCACGCTGAGGAGAGGCTTGTGGAGCCCCAATGCGTTTTCAGGAAAGGGCGGTCCTGTACAGATGCCATATTTTCTGTCCGTCTGCTACAGCAGAGGTGTAGGGAATTCCAGCAAGACCTACATCTCTGCTTTATTGACCTGGTCAAGGCCTATGATACCATCAGTAGGCCTGGGCTCTGGGTTGTTCTTCGTGCTTTTGAAGTACCTGACCCTCTGCTCACGATCATTAAGGACCTTCATGATGGTGAGCGGGCCCGGGTAAAACTACGTGGCCCGGAGTCAGAGCCATTCCCTGTACACCTTGGGGTGCGACAGGGATGTCCTCTGGCTCCCACATTATTTAACATCTATTTTGACCACGTAGTTCGTGAAGCCTTCAATAGCTGTACCTGGAGAATCTCCATATGGTACAGATATAATGGGAGGCTGATCGATGCCCGCGTGCGGTCAAAGGATGGCTCCCTATTGCTCAACCACGTTATGTATGCTGATGATTTGGTAATAGCTGCTCAGTCAGAGGAGGAGTTGGAGACGCTGCTGCTGAGACTGGAGTGTGCCACTAAGAGCCCCACCAAAACTAAGCACCTGCCTGGGTATTTTGTACCATTGGACACTCCACACCCACAACTCCCAATCGGTGATGGGGCAGTTGTGGAGAGAGTGGAGAGTTTCCCATACCTGGGCAGTGTGCTTATGACCGGTTCCAGTTTAACAGCAGAGGTCTCCGAATCAGTCGAGCGGCAATATCTTTTCATCGGTTGCGTAACGCTGTGTGGAAGCTACCTGGTCTGTCGCTCCGCACTAAGCTTCAGGTCTTCTCGGCCACGGTCATTCCCTCCCTTCTCAACGCTTGCTAAACGTGGACCCCCCTAATGGAACATCTTCGCCGGTTAGAAACGTTTAGGCCAGCCTGCCTACGATCCATCTTGGGTTTAACCAGGCTGGATTGTGTCAGGAGCTCACAAATCCTTGAAAGATCTGGGCAAGGTCCCATCGGTGAGCTCCTCCGGCGGGGAAGACTGCGATGGCTGGGTCATGTAGCCCGCATGCCCAGCCACCGCATGCCGAAACAGCTTTTGTTCGGCCGGATCGAGGGGGTTAAACGGGCGCGGCACGGGCTAGAGAAGAGATGGAGTGATGTGGTACAGGAGGATGTGGAGCTGAGTGGACTTGCTGATGACGGGTACCAGCGGTGTCAAGATCGGCCTCTGTGGAGGAGGCTCGTGAAGGATGCTACTGGGCTGTTGGAGACAGTCGCCCTCCAACAACAACGGAGGGCGGAGGAGCGACGCTCACAACAACGAGCAGAGCGCTGGGTGGCTAAAGCACAGCAGGTTGGCACAGTAGGGGGCACAGGTGGTGCACCAGCCAGTCATCTCAGTCATTTTAGTCAGTCGACCCGTGGCACCTGGGTCTGCCCCGTGACCTCCTGCCAGCGGGCGTTCGACACTTCACGTGTCCTCAAGGTGCACATGGCCTGGCACAAGCGTCGTGGTGACGTCACCGCCACTTAGTGGCGAATGGCGGTTGTTGTTGTTGTCTATCTATGTGTGTGTGTCTGTGTGGTTGTCTGTGTGTCTATGTGCGTGTGTGTGTGTCCATGCGTGTCTGTCTGTGGGTGTGTGTCTATCTATGTGTTTGTGTATCTGTGGGTGTGTCCATGCGTGTCTGTCTCTGTGTGTGTGTGTCCATGCGTGTCTGTGTGTGAGTGTGTTGGGGAGCGGTGGCGTAGCGGTTAGCACGCTGCGCTACGAACCTGACGACCCGAATTCGATTCCCACTCACGGCCCAACACCGGTGACTATTTATCTGAACCGGTCCTGGGCCTCCCCTAGGTCGACTCAGCCTCAAATGAGTACCTGGTGCGGTGCGTGTAAACCTCGCCAAGGGGGAGACAAAGGCGGCCGGGCGTGGTGCTGGACACCCACTTCCTCGTGTGCTGTGCCGGCCTTCATAGGTGCTCGCTAACAGCACTTGCCCCAACAGTCTGTCAGAGGCTATATGGGGGATCTTTGTCTTTGGTTTATGTGTCGTGTATATAATAATGTGTGTCTGAGTGTGTTTGTCTATGTCTCGGTGCATTTCTTTGTGTCCGGCTCTGGATTTGTTTATGTCTGTGCATTGCTTTTTGTGTCTATGTATTTATGTGTGTCTGTACATCATAATGTCTGTGTCTGGGTGTCTGTTGGTGCATCTGCCAGTCATCTCAGTCAGTCAACCCATGGCACCTGGGTCTGTTCCGTGACGTCCTGTCAGAGCCTGGCACAAGCGCCGTGGTGACGTCATCGCTACCGTGTGTCTGTGTGCGCCGGTCTGGCTTTTGTGTGTCTTTTGTTTGCGTGTCTATGCGTCTGTGTCGTCTTTGTGTGTTTGGTTCTCTGTATGTGACTTTTGCGTCGACTGTCATGGGCCCATTGACGCAGAGACGGGATTATTTCAGCAGATAGCCCGTGGTTGTGGCGGCTTCCCTCTCTGCACGCGTGGCTGCTTGCCTGCGATGCAGCACTGTGGGGGCGGCGGCAAGGATTGGTGGATCACCGCGCGAATGTTGAGAAGCTCTCTTAAACGTCGGGGGTTGAGGAGGTTGCCCATACCCTGGACTCGCCGGGAGAAGGCGGACTAACCTCCACCTGTCCTTTCTTCTGTACGATACTCGATATTGAGTATCGCTCATTCAGTGGCTGAGAACAGCTTAATATACAGAGGACTGCAGAGCTTGTGGACACATTATTGGTGGCGCCGACTTACCGCCCTGGCTGCCTTCCACCAGCTTGCCGGTGGTTTCTCCGCGACTGCGAGATGCAATGTGCACGTCCGACGACGCTGTATAAATGACAACATAATTATACATATTCTTGGTTCTTTCGGTAAAGTCACGTAGAAGGGAAATAATAAAAAAAAACAATTAAATTCTCACGACGTTTCGATTGCAACACAAGCAATCATCATCATCATCATTAATTTAAATTTTATTGTTTCCCTTCTACGTGACTTTACCGAAAGAACCAATAATATGAATCCCTGCAGTCACGAAAGCTTGAAATCGAAATGATTATACATAAACAGCACACGCACGGTGCTACGGTATCCTTTTAAAACGCCGTGCAGTGGGAGGTGGGACGGAAGCCGCGTCCTTCGGATCGCGAATCCCGGCTTGTGCCCTCCACGACCCCCCAGGTGCCCCCTGACCGATGCGATGAACACCGCAGGACGGCGCAGTACGCGTGCACCCTCGCGAGACACGTGAACGAGCGCACTTGGCGCCGGCCCGAGGCTTCGGACAAACTCAAGGCCCTGGTGTCCCACCTGAAGCTGAGCCGCAAACGTGAGTTCGCGCCCGGGTTAGGTGACGGGAGACCCAGGGCGCCCACTTCACTGGCACATGCCGTATTTACTTGCTCCACTTCAACCGAGCGAGGAGCGACAGGGAGGCGGCAGTAGTTGGCGCTCGCGCCTTCGCAGCAACACGCGTCTGAGTTGTATACCCGACCCAGGCTCCTTTGCACGAGTTTGGGGCCGTCCATAAATGACGTCACGCACCTGGGGGGGGGGGGGGGTCAGACATTTGTGACGATGTGTGACGATGTGTGACGATTGGGGGGGGGGGGGGGGGGGAGTTTGAGAAATGTGACGGCACATCAAAATGCGCAACTTTAAATAAATACAGACAACACGTTCTACTTAATTAAATAGACTTTTTTAATAAATGTTTTCTCCTACAACATCAGAGTGCAGCGCCGCATTAAATACGCACTACAATGACGATAGTTTAAAGCGATTTGAAGCATGTTTTATTTTCAAAATGGAAATATGGTTTTGGGGGGTGGGGGGGCAGAGCTTTGTGACGTCATATTTGAGGGGGGTCTGACTTTTTGTGACGCCGTGTGACGAGGGGGGGGGGGGGTCAAAAATCGTCCAAAATCGCGTGACGTCATTTATGGACGGCCCCAAAGAGACATCGGAGCGAAACCAGAAGTAATTGAAAACAGCGTGCACACGTAAAGCAAATAATCTGGTGACGCTGCCGCTTTGACACTGATGCACAAACACAAAAAAATCTCAACACGTTTCGTGTCAATAACGATGTGTGGACTATAAAATAGGAAATAAAAACGTAACGGGTGACGTTTCGGGAAATGACCCTTTTTGATCATGGCAAACTGTGCAAAGTTTTTTACAAATAATAATAATAAAAGCTCATGTCAGAAGTGGGATTCGAACCCACGCCTCCAGGGGAGACTGCGACCTGAACGCAGCGCCTTAGACCGCTCGGCCATCCTGACTGCACGTGGTTAGGAGTGTTTTGTGCCTTGGTGTGTCTGTACGTGTCTGTGTGTCTCTTACATTACCTCCCTCTATGTATTTGTGTGCGCATGTATATATGCCTGTGTATCTGTCCCTGGATATGCCAGCGAGCCTTCAACACTTCACGTGGCCTCAAATTCCACCTGGAATTGGCACGGGCGCCTTGGGGACCATACATTCACTTTGTTGTGAATAGCGGATATTGGTGTGTCTGTGTTTTTAGATCTACCTCTTTTTGTGTGTGCATGCCTCTGTATCTGCACATGCCACTATGTGTATGTATATTGAACTTCATTCGCACCGTACGTAGCCAACCGTGCGAATCCGAGGTGCGTGTATCTGTGTTTGTTTACCGCTGCATTTGTGTCTGCAAATGCCCGTGTGTATCTGTGTCCACCTCAGCACTTTCCCCAACAGTGCGTTAAAGGCAATAAGGGGGATTTTTTTTTAATCTCTGTGTCAGTGCTGCGCCTGGGCAGGAGTGTGAACAGCCTGCACGCCCTGCGCCTCTCGGCCCGTCTCTCCAACCCCGTGCTGCGCTTCTGTCTGAGCTCCGTGCACGCCACGAGGTGCGAGCGCCGTCCACCAGTGGAGTAGCCATCAGCCAGCAGTGCGCAGGCGGTGCAACTGCACCCGGGGGACACACACACACACGCAGGGGGGGGGGGGGGTAACTATTGTGCCGGGACATCAGTTTGCTTTTTTACTGGTAGGAACGAAGTTGTAAACTGAGTGTACCAGCCTGCAATAGATTAATGTGTCCGTCCGTCCGTCCCCTTTCAATACTTTAACGAAGTGAAATCTCGTGCTGTTGGGTGTAAAATCAGCAATAGACAGCGCAGAGACTTGATGTGTCTTATTGCACCCAACATTTGGAAGTCACAATGTCATAAAATTGCGCAAAATTCCAATGTTCCTACCAGCCCACCCCTGCAGGGACCTGTTAAATATATGCAACGCACCAAGGCCGTAGCCATGGAGTCAACATTGGGGGAGGGGACCAAATCTTCCAGGGTGTCTGGGGGGTCCCAACCCAAAAAAATATGTCTAAATTTGAAAACTAATTTCCTGCCTAATATATAACAAAAATTGACTAACACATGGGATGGACTTTTCATTTATTTTTTTACAATAATGTCTCATAGTGTTATTGTATTTACATTGCTCTGTTTTTACTTGTTTTACATTTTCTTGTTTCATTGTATGTAATGGCAGAGATTAGGGATTAATAAAGTAACCATCATATGAACAGAAATCTATGCATTTATTTATATGAAGACAAGTCCAGATATTGTGGCCAAGGTTTAGCATATTGTTGTTTATTTACATAGCATAGCAATTATTTTCTTATAGCAATATATTGGGGGGGACATTTTGAGCATATTTGAGTATTGGGAGTGGGGAGGGATGTGTCCCCCCCCCCCCCCAATATATATTATAATTACGGCCTTGCAACGTACAGTCCTTCAATGAGCCCCTAAAGAGTACAGGGTCTAAACCCCAGTTAACCCCAGGCCGCATCTTTAAGGGTTGTTCACAGCTAAAACGCTTCAGAAACGTCACCGAGATTTAGCTGAACAAGTTGGCACTCACCTTTGCCTCCGCGAACTCGGCGCTGTTGGAATGTTTACTGTTTAATAATCTCCCGAGCGGACCGACCGGGGCTACGGTTCACAGTTCGCGCAGATGTCCGGTGGCAATTGTCTTTTACATTCTCTGAATTTCTCTGGGTTTAAATTTGATGTTTTTCGGGGAAGGCGACTTTAACTCACCTGTCCGCTGCCGGGAGTGTTGCTCCTTAGAAATATTCCACGACATCAATAAAAGTTTAGTGTGAGGTTGAAGGCCGTGTTTTCCCCCTTGTACAATCCATTAACTCAAGTGGACATTTACATAAAAGCCCAATAGTAATCATTATATCACACCACCGCACCACCCTGACGAATATCACCATCACTGCACCATCAAGACTATCGCCAAGATCACACCACCATCAACACCACACCGCCACAACACTACCATTCCCGCTCCCATCGCCACCACACCAACATTGCGACTGCACTATCACTGTTGCACAATCGCGTAAAACAAATTGTGAAACTGCCCAAAAGCGTGCACGTCATAAACACAAGCTTTGCGGATGCGTAAGGTAAATACCCACCCGTTTCCCCACAGGGCTCTGTACTTCGTGTGCGACAACCTGCTGTGGGCTTGGAAGGTGCATCTGGCCCCCCACCTCGACTCCCAGCGCTGGGGGGCCCAAGCAGCACGATGCTACCTCCTTTCACTCATCGCCTGCTTGCTTCGGGACCTCTACGAAATCATCATCATCATCATCGACAACAACGATGAGACGGCCGGTCGAATCTTGCAGACACCTGCCGCTCAGCGGCCAGAAACAACCGATGTATGGGGACGCGCCACGGGCCTCCCCCAGGCTAAGACGACGATGACAAGGAAGGGCATTGGCCTTTGGGGAGAGTTGAGACGTCGGCCGGAGCTGTGGGTGGACCTGGCGAAGAACGCGCTGGACCTGCCGAGTCCGCTCGAGAGGCTGGGCGTTTTCCGAGTTGACGAGGGCATCATCGGATTGTGCGGCCTCGTGTCCTCCATCCTGGGACTTGTGCAGTTGACGCAGCCTGGGCTGAAGCTGCGGCCGTGAAACGGCGCGCGAGCGAGCACACGGTGGTGCGCAGAGGCACACAGCGCCACCCTGGCAGCCTTCTGCTTCGGGCAGATGGAATGCCGCATTGGCGTGTGCGATTATTCAGAAAGGTAATCATGGTGGTAATCGCCAGCACTACTGAAGAATACACTAACGTGACGTGGTCAGAGAGTATATACAGAGCAGGTGCAATCGTATGGCTCTTTCCAAATGACTCATGAGTGGTGGCCGGGTGGCATGGAGATCAGAGGGCCGAGCTGGCATCGCCGAGATCCTGGGTTCAAATGCGCAGTCACCTGTGATGAAACTGGCTTCGAGTAAAATGAGTTGGTGTCTCAGCCCGGTCGCTAATGACTACACAAAACCCATCAAATGAAATGTTGTCCTGCACTTAATTTGGCTCAGCTCTGGCATTCGTTTAACAGTTCTCTCAGGAGCCGCGTGGAGGGGAAAGTGCCGCACCCTACTGCGTGTGCCAGAGGTCAATGTCATGTATTCAGCAGTAGTCCTGTGATACCTTACATTGTGGGATGTTCTCAAATAACAAAGGGCTGCACGGCTCTCAAAGAGTTCCAATTGGATGCTTTATCTCTTGACGTGATGCCGACTGCACAATCTGGCTGAAATTGTGGGAGACAATCTCAAAAGTGTGGGCAGTGGTGGCTCTGCACGTGGCCTGTAATCCAGCAGTGTGGAGACAGCGAGAGTTGGTGAATCACCCAGATGTTGTGAAACTCCCTTTCCATGAGTGTCGAGGTCCTCCATATTCTGGCTCGCTAAAAAGGCTGCAGTAGAGCAAGTGGACTTATCCCCATCCGTTTCCATCTGTACGGGTATAGTGTTGCCCCATCACATGTATGAGTTTTCTCCAGTTTCCCTCCACTTGCATAAACTAATCGACTGAAAACATCTTAAAGTAAACCCAATGTAGCTGAAAGATACTCCTGAAAAATAACTGTTGGACTAAGCATGGCTTTTCTTGGATAAATAATAATGCTTGGTATGCGTCATTTAGCACACAACACATCTGAAAATGTGCTTTAATGCATATACAAATGCAACCCAGGCCAATAAACACAGAATGTCGAAGGTATATGTATATATATTTTTTTTATTAATGCAATATAACCATATTGTACAAGTAACAGTAATGAAAATGCCAGACAAAAAAGCTGTCACATCGCTGGTAACAAAATCAACACGTGCTACTCAACTACGTACTTGTTGCACAACCATGAACCAGAATCCACGAGTAAGTTTTTTTTTTTAAAAGCTCTCATTTTTTTCACCAAGCAAATAAATAAAGGTAGCGATTGAAAGTCCGTATAAAAGTCAGTGGAAAAAAAGGCGCACAACAATCCGCTTTTTTTGCGCCAGGACAAGAAAGTAAGGCAGTAGTTGGAGCGGGGCAAATAGAGAGACTACAAGAGGTCACAAACGGGAAGTGGGGTTGATACTTTACATGATTGGCCAAGCAACACTGGGAATCTTGGTGGTGTGGGAGGGGGAGAACTTGCAGTTTGTACACAAGCAAGCAGATCGGCGTGTGGTGTTTTTTTTTCCCCCAGAGCATCCGTCCGCCCGGAAGGGGGTGGGGGGAGGGGTCTAATAACGAGTAGTGTTAATAACAATTAAAGGGGGCTCTTGGCGTCACGTTTTCATGGTACACAGAGCTGGGGGACCCCCTCTGAGAAAAGCCAGGCCCAGTTCATTTTGCTGTGAAACTGCAGGGTTCTCAAACTGAAACCCCCATACGCACAACAGGTTGCACGGCACAGACGTTCACAGTGATAAACGTGCTTTTTATTACCCGACATTTACACTGCAGCCTGGAGAATGATCTGGGGTGCAGACAGTACCCTCGTGTTTAACCCACATGCGCACGCACACACGTATGCATGTCAATACTCTGTACAGTCATGCCGGACAACAAATGTCAACCCCTGGTCTCGCCCAAAGCGCGAAAAGCGTCGGGCACAACGCCCCCGCGCTGTGCCCCACGCAGCGTGCAGACTGAAAGTGTCGCAAAACATTTCGACCCTTTGATTCTTGAAACGACCAATAGCAATTGGTCTGGTAAATGTATCCAGACAAAGACGGGGGACTTATCAACAAAATTCATGTTTACTTAACCAGCTTCCAGTGGTTGGCATCGCAGAATTACTCCCCTCTTGGGGAGGAGGGGGCTGTGACCCCTAATGAACAGCAGTGCCTCTCCATGTGCTCCCCCCCCCCCATTCAGTTGAAGCCCCTAAGGGTGGCTCGGGATACACTCTGGTTCAAGCTAAAGTGGTCATCACGACCGAATGTTGCTGATGGCGCTACACTTCTGCATTGCTGCCTTCCTGTAAGCCGGATCCAGCAGAAGTTGGAGAGTTGAAACGTTACCTCCAATGTCTACTCTTATAGAATATCACACTTGTAGAATGCGTTTCACACACAGGTTGTGAATGAGTGCCACCCACCGCCCCCGTGTCAGGTGGTGCCCCTGTTTGCAGCGTCCGAGAATCGCGACTGCCCTCCACCCGGAGATGTTATCCCTCAATAAGCAGTCGCTCGTAGACACTGTGCCATTGTGTTTGTGCCCCAGTTCGTGGGGAGGCTTAGTAGGGAACATAGAGTGGATGAGATATGAAATGTGTTGTTTAAATTTGCAGGGAGCCATCCCGGAGAAGCTTTGCCAGATTGCTACTGCATGTCTTTGCAGAGGGCTCACTTGGCTCCTGTTCTCTCTCTGAATAATTGAAGTACTTGTGGCTGTTAACACGTAGGTTGTAATACTGGTTATTCAACGGAGACTCCTCAAAATGCATCCCCTGATAGCCACTTAATGCAAACGACAGTATTATGACCAACACATTTAGACAATTCTATATTTGGCATACACTGCAGACGTAATGCATCTTTATATATAGAAATTATACACACTGTTCCCTGTGCACTTTGTTACAGTTTTTAACCACTTGGGTGGAATATTTTTAGTATTGACAGAATTCATGAGCACACGTTCCTGAGCTCAAACAAAACTGCTTTGGGGAGGGGGGGGGTTACTAAAGCATTTGAGCACCATTTAACTTTTTGATGTACACCGGTTGAAGAAGCCAATATATATTTTCAAATGACATATGCTATTGTCACGAATATCCCAAGACACGGGTGCCAATGCTGATGAAGAAAAAAAAAAACTGCTGTTAGCTTTGAGTGCATGATACGTCTCGCACCATTGAGGGCTTAAAAAACAGGGCACCGTTAAACGTGGCATGCAACAAACGTGACGATCCTTTCTCCCAGAATACACGTGGAGCGCACTGATGATTTCAAAATAAGAATTGCGCTATCTCGGAAAATCGGGGTGGGGAGGAATTAAATAGCATTTTCAATACTCAGCAGTGTCCCATGAAACCAGATAGATAAACGTAAGCTAATTCTGATTACGGCAAATGTGGCTTTACCAGTGAAGAGTGAATATTAATTCATAAATAACATCAGCAAGGGCACACACTGGATCAGGTTATATCTCTTAAGGCTAGTCTTTGGCAGAGGCCTCCCGATATTGGTGTAAAAGTGGGGTCTGTGGCAATGTTGTCAAGGTGGTGGCTTGGGTCTGTTTCATGCTGGCTCTGTTGATCGGCACACTCACGTGACCCGGTCAGAGAGGTAAAAAGGAGGCTGAATAACGTGGCTCTTTAATAAAGTGACTTGAGAGGCGGGCGGATGGGCTCAGAAATCAAACGGACCGAGCTGGCACCACTGAGATTCTTGGTTTGAATCGAAGCAAGATGCCTGTGATTAATCATTATCAGCTATCGCGGGATGAGGATCAGCCCGAACATCAATGACTGCACACAAAAACACTATATTACATTTTTATTTAAAGCTTTCGTGACTGCAGGGATTCATATTCTTGGTTCTTTCGGTAAAGTCACGCAGAAGGAAACAATAAAATAATAAAAATATAAAACAATAAAATTCTCACGTTTCGACTGCAACACAAGCAATCATCATCAGGTGTGAAAACCACAGCAAGAAAATTTGAAGTGGCGGTTTTTTTAACGTTAGCACCACAGATAGCGATTTGGCAGTTATTCAGATGGAGGAGTCCATCTATGTTCGGAGAAGAGGGGGGAGACGAAAATAATGGATGCGGTCTGAAAGCCACCGTAAGCGTGAACAATCAATTAAGACCCTAAATGGTTTATCAAATCCTTCCAATGATTGCTAAGCCAGAATCAATCTTCTCGGTTGAAATTGAAGATGGATTCTGGCTTAGCAATCATTGGAAGGATTTGATAAACCATTTCGGGTCTTAATTGATTGTTCACGCTTATGGTGGCTTTCAGATCGCATCCATTATTTTCGTTTCCCCCCTCCTCTTTTCCGAACATAGATGGACTCGTCCATCTGAATAACTGCCAAATCACTCTCCGTGGTGCTAACGTTAAAAAAAACGCCACTTTTTTCAAATTTTCTTGCTGTGGTTTTCACACCTGATGATGATTGCTTGTGTTGCAGTCGAAACGTCGTGAGAATTTTATTGTTTTACATTATTATTTTATTGTTTCCCTTCTACGTGACTTTACCGAAAGAACCAAGAATATACTATATTGAATGTTATTCTGCACTTATTTTGCCAATATTACAGTTCTTTAAATTAAATATATCTGTTGGGCTTTCATGCGACAAACATTACCCTCTGTCGGAGGGCAGGTAGGAAATTGCTGCCCCATATGGTGTCGACAAGAGGTCGCTTGAAAATGATATCAAAGGTAGCTCTGCAATATCTACTTCAGTGGCCCATTCTCTAGAACACAAAGGGGGCCCATTCTCTAGAACACAAAGGGTTCCCATTGCTCTGTGAGAGTTCCAAATACATTATTTGTCCCATGAAATGATGCCGGGAGCACAACTGGGATAAAATTGGTGGGGAAATGCACAAAAATAATTAGACACTTGACAACAACAGAGCTCAGTGTTATGTTTGTTTTCAGACCCTTTCACTTAATATCGGGAGTTTGCAGCTGCCAAACACGTGAGCTTTAACAGTCGTGAGTCTAAGCCCGTGTTATTATCACGTAGCACACATGTAATATGAACGGAGTGAGAATTGACACACTTATATTGTACATACTCAGCACTACAGATCCCATGTGTTTAGCATAATCAGAGAAATTCTAGCAATCCGAGCAAGCGTCCACCCCACCTTAAGATTAGCCTTCCCAAAGACGAATACACCAGGAATTTCTGATATGCCATCATTTTAAAGTTTTTTTTTTCAAAGTTTTTGTTTGTTTTAAAGACATTGCACTCACAAGTAACATAGCGTTTGAATGTGAGACTCCAATGCAGGACAGTTATACACAGGGCATAATTTCATGGGGGTCTATCCAGCACACCGCATCTTTAATACTTATCGTGCATGTACACGTGGCTACTAGTCACGTGTCAACTCCTCCCATTATGCCAGCGATGCGGGGAAAACGTTCGCTGAAAAATGAAGCCCTGATTATTACAAATTCCCAATTCAAACAGGACCACCTGCTTTGTGAAGTGGGACTTACTCACTTCGTCTTGTGCACTGTAAACGACTTTCCTGTTTAAAACTTTGAAATGTAAGTTTTCGTGTTTAAAACAATTCACTGAACAAATCCAACGGAATAGAGAAAAGTACTGCAGCGAGGCAATACTTGTTTGATGAATGGGTTTTCAACCGTGAGTAAATATCGCTGCAAACGCTTTTACAGCAACATAACCTCAACTATATAAATACTGAATGCAATGTCTTTTGGGTTTTATTGTAAATATTTGTTTAGACTTTTTTTCCCCCCAAACTTTAAAACATCAAATCCCAACAATAAGGCAGAATTACACTTTATTTTTAACGTGTTTTTTTTGTTTAAGTATAAAAAAGTACTTCGAGACAAACAAAACATTTAACACATAGATAACATGCAAACAGGCAGATAAATAAATTAAAAAATACCAACTGTACACTATACCCCATAAGCTAACTTTGCATGGTTGTTGCATACATGCATGTCACACGCATGTATCAAGTTTTGTTGAAAAACTTTCACCTTTCGACGTACGACAATAAATTCCCGCAGGGTTCTGAAGCTAATTTATCACCAACTCTAAGAGACTTTTCTCTCTGACCCCCGGTCTCAAGAGAACAAGCCCCATATGTCACTGTGCCCACGGTATATTTACAAGACCCGTGCATGATATACAATAAACAAGTCGCCTGGCTGGCACGCGGATCCTGCAAACGGTTTAAAAGGGTATGGCATCGCTCTGAGACGCGTTATGGCCCATTGTCAACATTATACGTAATAAAGTGCTGCATTCCAAAGCACTCGCATTCAAAGCGGGCTTGGTGAATCATGCACTGCGTGTGACGGAATCCGATTTTTTTGCGTTTTAGTCTTTAATTCCCCTCCACCACCCTCCCCCACCACTTATATTTTTCTGAAACATTTCGCACCACTAGCTTCGAAAAACACAAGATGATGTTATTATTTTGACCAAAAAATTAAAAACCTCTCTCCCGCTAAAACTGCTACACTTTAAACAATTGCACGTTCACATTTTGGAGTTTGCGATAACAAACAACAACAAAATCAGTCTCTAAAGGAAAACAAACAACACAAGACACGTATTTACTCGCTGGCCATTAGCTCCCATAAACTTGCGCGGTATTCCCAGTTTGGCATGGAGTTTGCATGTATTAACTATCTTTTCACGTGTTACCCATGTTTGCATACATACACGTTACCTACGCGAGACGATCGTTAACAGTTAGGCTCTGACAAGCGGTCGCTACGCACGGTCACACAAGTAGAAGTCACCGGCTCACAAATCATGGTAAAAGAGTTCTAAAATGCAAAATACACTAACTTGCCTGTGTGTCAAATCGGGTTTATGCTTTTAAAACTGTTCCTTGCTGTCTGGGTAGTTCCACAAATTAGGCAATCTCACAGTGTTTAAATTTCTAAATCATCAGAATATAATACGAGTGTAATGTGTGTCATGTGGGGTGTTATTTTGAAGGTAATTGTCTATCATTTTACAAAATATGGCTTACTTATGGAACAAGTCAATGGATTGACACAAAAACAGTATGCACCATCACCATCCCAGCGCGGATAAAAACAAAGTAAGTAAATTGGTCCGAGTACGTTCGTCACCACGGTATTTTATGAGCATTTATTCCTCGTCTTTTACCTGAACCACAGTCCGAATTGGTGGACACACGATGCCCATGTAAAAAAGCTACTTCATAATTTTGGTAATTAATTACCCCGGTACGGCCACAGTTGTTTAACAGGCCATCTATGTCACGTGACAATTAAGTTGCGACACCTGGTGCCTTCCTGGAAAGGGGTTTAAGCTTTGCCACACTCTAGGACCGAGGTGATGGTCCCATAAATATAACTTTAGCTATACATACAGGTGGTGAGCACTCCTTAAAAGTGTGACCCAACAACATTAAATTGTACGTAAAATAACCGAGCCACATAATGGCACGATAGCAAAGCCTGCTGGGTTAAACACGCACACTGACATCTAACTTTGTAGTCACACATCAGTCCTCGCTGCCCTGGTGCGAGCGCCCATTGTGGTGTGCCTTCCCATGTTTACCAAGTACAAAATCAAGTTAACACTTATACGGATGAAATGCACCTTACAAATGTAAAGTATTACTATGCATATCCTATTCTTGTGCATTATGGCAATAAGTGCAGAGGATAAAAATGCCGATGTCGAGGTCAGCTGGCCACAAGAGGGCTTCAGGATTTTTGGAATACCTCCTCCGATGAAGGAGCGCAGACCACAGACTTCTACATGGGTCATAGTTTGGGTTGCATGGTCACCATCGCGCCTCTGATGAGCACGTTTGGCTACGTACGGTGCGAAAGAAGTGTCTTTAATTTGCCATTCATGAAGAAGATGTGGGCATTGGCCTGTTGATGTTCTGATGCGCTTTGATTAATGCAAACATCCCACGTGACATAGGAAGTGCATCTTTAAATTTTAATCGGTGGCGTTTCATTTGAAAGTGCGTTTTTTTAAAAAAATCAGGGCTCCATACGTCACTTGGGACAAAGGCTTAGCACATTTGATTTATTAAAACACTTCACCTGGATAATTACTGGAGATGGAACATCTCATTTACAAGGATGTTCAGGGTGTGAATACATCCTTTGTAGATTTGTCACGTGAAGTTAGCGAGCACCTATTAAGACCGGCCTGGTGTCTAAAGGAAGTCGTGTGGCCAACAACACGCCCGACTGCCGTTTTGCCCAGTGCTAATAGTTGCACATCACACCAGGTACTCAATCAAGGTTGAGTCGACCTAGGGAGGTCCAGAACCCGTTCAGATCACCACTGATGTTCGTCATGTTTATGGGTGGAATGAAAAGTTGTTAATCGACATTAAGATGTACCGTGGTGGGTCATGAGCAATGGAAACAACCTAAGTTCGAAGTTCCCCAAAGCTCGAAATACAATATGCACCACTGTTGGCTCAAGGTGACGAGAGTAACCAGTTGTTGGGCTCGGGGCAGGAAACGTCACAGATAAGAGATGATGGCAGTGTTTGGGAGTAATGATGGGGTGGCAGCCCAAGGAGGGAACAAGGCCAAATGGGCATTTACCGCAGAGCTGGAACAATGAACTCAGCTCGTCCACAAGTGTCAGCTGGACTATTTCATTGCATAATCTTGAGAGACGGTGACTGCTTGGAGAGGGCTCCATCCAACGGTGGATGGCTGATATAAATCGGACATACCTTTTCTGCGACCTTTGCTGGATGGACCCCTGTTGGCAAGGTTCACACAGGAGCGCTGAAGGCTCCTGTGTGAACCTGCAATGCCTATCCAAAGGTCGAGGTGCAGCAATTGCAATTTCTTACTCATGCCACTGCTGGTGGACGAGGCTACACCTGAGAGCTCTCAAGGGTATTTCTGGCCCTTTTTCATGCTGGCCAGATATCTTAGAAGAGTTGGGGCTGTACCCACATTTCACCCTGCCACAGGTTGACTTGCCATTTTATAACCGTGGTGTACCCGTTAATAACTGTTGGGTGGACAGTGGCGATGGGATTTTATAATCTTTCCCAATGTTTCAAAAACCACACCGTAGGAACATTTAACTGGCAACCTCTGGATAGCGAGTCTAACAGGCTAAACCATTACACCACAGCAGCGTCCCAATGCTCATGAGTAGACTTTGAAACGGCCAAGTTGGATGCGTCGTTTTCTCTGGGCACTCAGGTTTCCTCCCAAATGCAAAACACCTAATTAAAATGGAACTGACCAGTCATCCCAACATAGAACCCTCTTGACAACAGAAGTGACATTACACAAGGCTTTCCAGTATAAATAAATAACATTACCATTATGATAACTATTTAGTTTGCGCTCTGCTAAATAAATTATTACATAATTGCCCTTTGTGATTGAATTAGAACACTTGTGATGAATGAAATTCGGTTTTATCACTGTAAACCTGATTTCCGCAGACAGCTGTCAACACACTCCATTCCACGCAGAGCCGAGTACAAGACTATACAATGGAGGAATATGATGGCTGTGGTTTGGCATTTTCTCGATGTGTGTGTGTCACTGTAACCAATGTGCCGCTTGAGCTGTTTGGGGACGTCTAGTTCCCTATAGCTTGTTACGATAACACGCAAAAAATCTGGCAAAACATTAAAATATACCTATAGACTTTGCTATACCCTTAGTGTATTAAAAATGTATAATATAGAATGAATTTTCTACACAGAATGTCAAAACAATAGAAAACAAAATGAAAGAAGGGGGGAAACCCAGCTGATAGCATGCAATGCAGTGAGTTATCGCTGCCGGTCCCCGTTTAACAGTGCACTTGTAATCCCCCGTCGCAAAGAGTATAGCGGTCAAACGTTTCACGTTTTACATTAACAACCGTAAACACCACTTTTTTTTTTTTAAACCAAGAGACTAACAAAAGTCCAAAATACCCCACGGCATGGACAACAACCACCCAAGATAACGCTCGTGTGGATTATTTTTTTTTACGTTCAAGGCCAAACGCACGCGACTCGCCGGTTGTCCGTCAAAGAGTGACGTCAGACGAAAGAAATGCACGTATGATCCCTCCGGGCCAAAGTCCTACGTCCAGTGGCCAAAGCCATTGAGTGAAGTGCAGGCGGTGGAGTCGCACCGAGGATCATGAGCCACAGGAGCCTGGACGCCAGGCTACAACGAGGTGGGGAAATCGGATTCTGTGACAGCGGTGCATACCCCCAACCCCCCCCCCCCCCCTTCCCATTTAAGTATACGCACTAGGGCCCATGACAATCGCGCTACGACACCACACTGCCTACGACCAATAAAAGCGAACGAATGTTCACTGCTGCTTTGTGATCATTGCCGTGGGCCAAACAGCACAGACGTGAAAGCCGTCAGCTCCTGGGGTGCGAGTGTACTTGCCATCCGAGGTGAATAAAACAAAAATAATCCCAATGCTAAAATTGCGCGCAAATGCCGAACGCAAGACGGCATCATGCAGCCATGCGTGCCAGCCCCTGATGTACCTGCGCTGGAAACGCGAGACGTCACAGTCCGTTACGTAACGTCAGAAAGCAAGTGCTCGAGTGAGGGAGATACACAGGCATCGCCATCAGCTAACGTCTATCAGAATGTACGATGTTTACAACAGTGCCATGCCACACGAGACGTGAACAGATTTCGCCAAAAGCTCGTCATGTTTAGTGATGAGGGTTCTTAGCATTATCGGCAGTCACCAACAGCGATCGTTACATAATAAGCATATCTTAAATACGGAAACAAATACTAACGTTTCATTTAAGTTTTAAGGTTCAAGATAATTTAATAGCTCTTAGAGACCGTAGTGGGTGACTCAATGAGTCATTCCATGCACATGATTTTGAGTTACTTAAAGAAAAAACAATATATAAATTAATTCCCTCAATGCCTCGAGATCAGCTAACAGAATACAGACGTAAACAAAACAAAAATCGAATATACACCGATCTAAAAGATTGCATGTCAGTCTGATAAAATGCCACCCATTTTGAAGAACAGATAGCAGAATTGCACTTAATACTTCACCAAATGTGGCCTTTTTTTATCGTGTCAACTTCATCGCAACATTTTTTGTTTATTTTTTGGGGGGATGGAGCACAAAGACCTCAGTGGCAGTGAATACGCACTTACGGTGCACTGCTAACTCGATTATCCACCCAAATGCACATCAGCCTCCCAACCCTAACCAACCCGCCATGACATCACTTGCACAAGCCCTGCCCAACTCGCGCATTTTTTCCCAAACTAGCTTCGCTGCGCAAGAGCCCGGAGGGTTTGAAGGTGCATCGGTGCCTGTTCCATGCTGACATGCACGGTAACAGCCAGAAGGAAAACCGGAGCGAAAACCAGAACGTGGGGCATGTGGAGCACGTTCACTTCACGCGAACACAAAACCTCGTCCAGAGAAAATCAAGAAAATAAAAAAACATATTGAACAGGCCATGGCAATGTACCAAACGTTTCCCGCACACGTGTGCCAAGTGCGACCCATCGTGCCCGCTCACAGTTCGGCGCGCCTGCTTGGCGTGCTAGTGACATGCAGGATGGGCTTGGTGGAAAAACGATCGCCTCCTCCTTTGGAAAGCTTTCGTGAGCACCACAAGCACAAGCCGTAGCAACAACCGCCATGCGATCAACACCCGTTCAGCACACACACACACAAACCAAAGACGCACATACTAATGCTCGCATGTCCTTGCAACACCCCGCACAAGCTGTTTGCAATATTTCATTGGGCATCCCACCAGGGCCGCCGATGTGTGGGCGAAGCGGCGACGCTGCCTCGGCACCACACACCCCGCGTGACGCACACGACGGACATGGCGCAAGCATCACACACGCACGCACGCACGCATGCACCACGACGTCCTACAAGCCGTCCATGCGGAAGGTGTCCTCGGTGGCTGGGTCGGCCAGGACCATGTCCGGGTCGCTCAACATGCGCAGACCCTCCAGGCCCAGCGGCTCCATCTTGAGGTCGTCGTCGAGGGGGAAGGTGGCGTCCGCCTCGAAAGCAGCCAGCGTGTTGCTGATCTCCTTGGAGAGGCTCGGGGGCGACTCGCCTGTGTGTGGGGGCGTGGTATTGGAGAGCGTGGTTTGCGTCTCGTCTTTCGACTGTACCTGATGATTTGACGGCGGGCTGCATTTCGCAGAGAAGCATTACAATTTCAATAGCTATTGATTACAAAAAAATATATATTACTAAGATTTTATGGTGCTTTCAGAGGCAACTCAGATCGAGACAATAAAAAATAACCTGGCTGACCCCATCTTAATGTTAAAGTAAATTTATTTCAGGTAACGCTCATTGAGCTTTAAAGCTCTTTTTTTTAATGGTGACCAGGCCAAAGAACACAGGGCATCCCAACAAGGTCAATGTTACGACATTAAAATGTATCCGGTGATGGCGTCACTGAAAAAACACTGATGAGAAAGGAAAGGGGAAACCACTGCAAACTGTCCTTCACTCGTTTTGTGGTTCCAGAGCAAGAGTGTGCAGTGTGGTGTATGTGAGGCGAAGTGAAAAGGGGGAGACGGGGCGTATGGGGTGGAGAGAGCTTGACCAATGAATCTGCCCTTAGGCAAAGAACTTGAGAGATTCAAAAATAAGATAACATAACAGGCAATTGTATTTTAAGTTTCTCCTCCTTTAAGAATAATCCCCACCACCTTAAACACCCGACCCGTGCCTGACTATACTTCCATCATGTGTACACCGACTGCAAACACAAAGTAGGTGCTTGGGAATATAAATACTCCTGACAATACGTTGGGGTGCACTCAGTGGCGGAGCCAGGATTTTCAGGTAGGGGGGGAGAAACCCCTCCAGCAATGAAGAATGATAGAGGAGTTGTTAGTAGGTAAGGACTTGTCCCTTGCTTTTTATTCGACGCGTGTGCGGCGATGGCGCTGCCATCGATCGAGGGTCGAATTCGAACCGTTTGTGATCGGCATCGCGCTCGCTGAAGGTGTTGATGCCTTCAGGGAAGTCGTGTACTGTATACGCAACTGCGCACAATTCTGTGAGTCACTTGTAACTCGGACTATTGAGTCTGAGTTATATGGACTCAGACTATTGTCCTATCATCTCATAGAGTCCCTGGCACGTAATAATAGGCTACACAGTGGCAGTGGGGGGCGCAAAATGCCGATTTATTACTAACTAGCTTTACTACCCGGCTTCTCCCGGGACTTGGATTCGCCCGGGTGCTTGGATTCACCCGGGACTTGGATTCACCACGCCCGGCCGCCTTTGTCTCCCCAGTGGCGATGTTCACACACCACACCAATTACTCGTTTGAGGCTGAGTCGACCTAGGGAAGGCCCAGGACCGGTTCAAATAATAGTCACTGGTGTTGGCCATGAGCGGGAATCGAACTCGGGTCGCCGGGTTTGTAGCGCAGCGCGCTGACCACTACACTACCGCTCCCCACACACACAAATGCACGCACGTCCATAGGTACACGTACACGCGCTTGCTGCAGACACAACTTTCAGGGTGCGTACGGCAGTAAACGACTCAAATAATAAACCAATGCCGCACAAAGAACGCCTTAGACCTGCAACACATTTGTATGGGACTTTACTCGCGGAGGGTTGGGGGGGGGGATGCGTGACATGAGCAGGCACACTCCGTTACGCTTCCGCATGCATGGGTGACATGACAGATGTGACGTCATAGCTCACTTACCGTGCAAAATATATGCATCATTGCGCACCCCCCCCCCCCCCAAAAAAAAAATATACAAGTCTATTTTTATAATTTTTGCATGTGGTACAGTCTGGAAAGTACCCATATGGCAAATTTCAAGTTTGTTGCATGTCGGGAAGTACGCTGAACATGTTGAACAGACACACTCACAAATTTCCCTTTTATATATATAAACCCCAATGATCCGATCAAAATTATGGATTTCGATCGGATCATTAGGGGGGCACGTGCCACCTCACCCCCCCCCCCCCCCCAGCCTATATTTCAATAAAAAATAAGTTTCGACAACATTAAAGAGATCACAACCTATGTAAGTATAAAGTACAAAATAGTCTTGATCGATTTGAATGACATTTATGACGAGAGACTGGAAGGGAAAGGCAGGTAAAACAGCCTAGAAAACATTCCAGAAGACGCGTTATTCGAAAGAACATCGCCGACAGATAACTGCGTACGTATGCATGTTGAACTTCCTTCGCATCGTATGAAGCCAACCGTGCTAATCGGAGTTGTAAATCAGCATCAAAGCGTTACACGGGTGACAGTGCAAAAGGTTACAGGCACACGGGACTGTGGTAAGACATCACCTTGGCAAGTTGGGAGGTCCATCTCACCGGTGAGGATGATGTTGGGGATGTTGCCGGCATGATTGGAGAAGGCTCCGTGCTTGCCCAGGTGCTGCATGCCCGACAGGCTGCCCTGGCTGCCCGAGAAGCCCAGCATGGCGGCCTGCGAGTACTGCAGCGGCGCGCCGGGGTCGAACATCATGCCGGAGCTGAGCGAAAGGCCGCCCAGGGGGTTCTCCATCATGTTGAACTGCTCCAGCTGTGTGCACAAACGTGCGGGCGGAAGGGCCAAACCCTGTGAGTGCACTGCGACAGTAGTCGGTCGAAGCGTAAGGGTACACAGGCGCGACGCTGACACTGCCTGCTCGCCCCACTGCCGATGCGACTATGAAGCTACTTTAATTTTACCAGGTAGGGTCCATTGCATAACGTAGCTCTTTTGCAGAAGCAAGCTGGCCACAAATGATAGCTCAACGAAGTGGCGTATCATGTGGAAATGTAAAAAAGCAGCCAAATACTCCTAAATGCATGTTTTTTAAAACCAGAGGACCCGGAGAAAAATCCACGCGACCATGGGGAGAACATGCAAACTCCCAATATACAGAAGTCAGGATCGGGATAGAACATAGGACCTGCTGGCTTCCACTACAGGGAGCTCGAGACACTGCTTCGAGAGGGGGTAATTTTGGCCAGACATCTCTGAAGAGGTGGGAGGAACCACATTTTACCACGCCACACGCTCCCTGCCAATCCACTAATTGTGATGTACCCATTTATAATGCGTGGTCTCTGCTGAAACCATCATCATGCTGATGAGTGTGCGTTGATGACGGTGGGGAGCACAGAGACCGGGAGCAGAAGTGCAGTGCAAAAGTGGGTTTTCTGATGCGCCCATTGCTCCGTAGAGCATAGCCCCACGGTCGTTTGAAAACCTGTTTGTGAAGGGTTGTGAGCCATCCAAGCCCTATCCTGGCTCCTTAGCGTCTGAGATTTACATATTCTTGGTAGTTTTGTCATAGGCATTCCAGTATTATTATTCATAACATTGCACTTACATTCACCAACATTTACCCGCAGCCAGCAACAAGCCTGACCTGGATAGACAGCGCGCTGGTTTGCCGCGATGTAAGCTGCTGGTCAAGGTAAGAGTCGCTGAACACACTGCCGAGTATTGTGGTCTGTTGGGCAAAGCACAAACACACGGGTCTGGTAAACATCAGCAGCATCCATCCTCCAGCGGCAACTTCTAGGGCTACTCATGGCAAAGGAGTCCATTCTGGCCAAGTTCCCCACCCCTCGCTTCCTGGATTATGCAGGTAGCACGCCTTACCTTAAGTTTCCTGAAGTAAATTTTTATTTAAAGCTTTCGTGACTGCAGGGATTCATATTCTTGGTTCTTTCGGAAAAGTCACGTGGAAGGGAGACAATAAAATAATATTTATGATTATATTTATAATTATTATTTTATTGTTTCCCTTCTACGTGACTTTGCCGAAAGAACCAAGAATATATTTCCTGAAGTAGCCCAAGGTTAGGCACAATAGACCACAAACAGTCAATCGGATCTTTCTTTTGGTTAAACGAACCACACAGAGAAGAATTGCAGGTGTGCGGCAGAAGGCTGTGGATGTGTGTCCACACCTGTGGAGAAGTGCTGGGGGAGAAGCCCTGGTTGGAGACGGGCGATGTGGGCGACTGATTGGTCGGGGTTCCCGTGCTGTTGCGGTATTGCTGTAGGGCAACCTGTTTTGGGACAAGGATCGTGAGGTGCGACCAACGTTCAGTGTCACAAAACTCCCACCGACCCTGCTGGCTCCCTTTCAAATCCCAAGTAGATGTGAAAACATAATAGAAGGAATAGGTTTTACCCTTTTAACTGGCACAAAAACTGACACCTTTATTCAAGGCATCATGTTTGCAATAACCACAACACAAGCAGTCAAAATGCAAACAAAAAAGACAACTCTGATAATAATATGCATTGTCCTTGAATTTGATTGGTCCACACCCGAGACAGCTTTTCTTAGAGCCTAGTCTCCACTGGTGTTGGACCAGAAGACGCCAAAAGGCATACGCCTTTTGGCGTCTTCTGGTCCAACACGTACGCCTTTGGCGTCTTCTGGTCCAACACCAATGGAGACTAGGCTCTAAGAAAAGCTGTCTCGGGTGTGGACCAATCAAATTCAAGGACAGTGCATATTATTATCAGAGTTGTCTTTCTTGTTTGCATTTTGACTGCTTGTGTTGTGGTTATTGCAAACATGATGCCTTGAATAAAGGTGTCAGTTTTTGTGCCAGTTAAAAGGGTAAAACCTATTCCTATATCTTGTTTCTGGCAAAGGAGGTCTCATAAACATAATAGAAGTTTTTCAGATTAGATCGCGTAAATATATATGTGCTGGAGAGCCAAACCACACCGGTGTGCTGTACTAGTGACGAATTGGCATGTTCTGTTTACATGACAACCCTTACTAGTTGGCTGTATCGAGTGGTGGCGAGCTTAAAGACACATTTATATATTTATGCGATCTAACCCAAAAAAAACTCTATTATGGATATTGGTCACGAAAGCCTACATGTTAAACAGATTTGAAAACGGCACTCAAAAGTGTTCAAGATTATACAGAAACTCACCCATGTCTACTTCTTCTCTCTGTGTACTCTCCTACCTTGCCTCTCTCTTCTCACTCTGCTCCCACCTCATTTTATTTATTATGCATGGTCACCTAGGAAAGCCTCAGTCTTAAGACCTTCATTATGGATATTGGAAGGTCCTGCCAATTTTTCACAGTAGGGGGCGATCCTGTTGTTCAATGCCATTTGAGTAATTCGCAGGTGATTTTTGAGCATTGGGATGTTTGGTCAATTACCAATTACATTGTACGTTTATTTAGCTATGGGAGGCAACCGGAAAACCCAGAGGAAACCAATGCAGAACAGGCAAATAACAAACTCTACACAGGAAGGTGCCTGAGTTGGGGATTGACCCGAGGCCCTTCTTGCTGTGGGGCACAAGTGTTATTACCACTGTGCACCACCCCCTTCCTCTTCCATCTCTTCTCACTATTCCATGTACTCTCCCCACTTCAGCAACCAAGATTTTCTGTTAAAATCCCCAGTCAACCTTTGCTCAGTGGGAGGTTCCTCATTCGCCTCTGCTGCGCACATAGCCTGGAACCACCTTCCCCCAGCCATCTGTGCTGTTGACTCAATATATTTTTTTCTCTGCTTACGACTGTCTGCTTCTCTCTATAAAATAAATAATCTGTTTCCATACAGAGTCTTGAGATGCGGTCGCATTATGATGGTGTATAAATCCACATTGTATTGTATGTCACAGGTGCCACCACACGAACCACCTCGTCATTCCTATGCTGTGTCCCAAGGGAAATTGTTTATTCGAGCACAATGCTCCTTGCAATGGAAACAATATTGCACCTCTCTCACATTCAAAAAAACATTTCCTCCCTGTCACTTTTTAATGAACAGTTGGATTCACTGCTTGGAAAAAAAACAAACACAAATAATCTTAAACTATACCTTAAATGCACATATTACACAGTATCATACATGAAACTGTAAGCTCTATTTTTAATTGTTAAAATGATAAATTCTGTAATTACCTGCAGAAGGGTGGTGCGCAGTGGCTCGCACAGTTAGCTACAACCCTGGTGACCAGGATACGATTCACAACCATGGCTAACGTCAGTGGTGAGTCATATGTCAAAATCTTTGTTATCCCTCCACCCCACCTCTTCACCAACCTGCATTGACTAGTGCAGTTAAGTATGGTCAAACAACACTGTCTCTGGGCGAAATTCCAATATTGCACCTCTCAATGCTTATTTCTTTAAATTTTAGGTTTTGGTCGATTATCTTTGTCAATGTCCAAGGGCTCTCACCTGGTTCTAAATAAGCATCGATTCACTGAGCAATCGCTCACCATTGCACTCCACTCCATTCTTTGGTGACTTGAAAAGTCATGCAAAATAGGTTAACAATCTCACCAACAACTCCAAGCCGTTTCATGTTACAGCTGTTCTATCGGTGTATTTGGGTTGTCAGCAAATGAGTCAGGACGCATAATGACCTTGCTGGGAGTTCAAGCTGTACCACTCTGAGATACTGGATTAGAATGTGTTCCAGTTACCCGTAATTAAACCACCCAGTTGCTAATGGCTGCATGAACCAAAAATCACATCCAAATTTTTTATCACATTTAATTGTTTAGTTAAATAAATTTGATGTCATTCTGTAGACGCCAACCTTTAACTCTGGGTCATGTTGCACAGCTTTTGGCAAGAGGTGCTAATCGTAATTTTGCCAGATGACCTGGTGTTGATAACACAATTTAAATGTAATTGTAAAAAAAATATGGCCCTAATTGTAAGGCAATTTAGTCAACAAAACATCCAGATAGAGAGTAAACCGCATTGACGTAGCTACCTGCGCTTCTATTGCCTACTCCAGGAACACATTTTCTTACTCTTTGGTCTTTTCCGTAAAGTCACGTAGAAATAAGAAATAATAAAACTACATAATAGCGTACGACGTTTCGATTGCAACACAAGCAATCATCATCAGGTGCAGAAGAGTTAAATTTAAGAGAGAGAGGAAACACATAACCGCAGATATATATACAGACACCCAAGTAGACGGAATTAATACAGATACACCAGGGGATACAGAGAGAGACGGAGGAGCACACTAAATCAAACAGGGTTTGTGTTAATTCCCTTTATTTGGGTGTCTATATATATCTGCGGTTATGTGTTTCCTCTCTCTCTCTCTTAAATTTAGCTCTTCTGTACCTGATGATGACTGCTTGCGTTGCAATCGAAACGTCGTACGCTATTATGTAGTTTTGTTATTTCTTATTTCTACGTGACTTTACCGAAAAAAAACAAAGAGTAATTCCTGCAGTCACGAAATCGCCAAATCAAACACATTTTATTCTTTGCTGCTACAGTCTATAATTGGGCCACGGCCATGTTTCGACTTGCACAATTATCCACCGACCGAACATGTGGAAGTAACGGTAGGATAAATTAGACCTCCGGTGCGCGGTTTGCTCTCAGAAATAGAATGGACATCTCACTCACATTGACGGCGTTGGTGTCGATGGTGCGCTGGTGCATAGCTGCCTGTTGGGAAGTCTGCATTAGTGCCTGTGCCTGCTCCGCTTGCTGCTGGTGCTGCTGGTGCTGCTGGTGCTGCTGCTGCTGTTGCTGCTGTTGCTGCTGGTGGTGATGGTGGTGGTGGTGCTGCTGCTGCTGATGCTGCTGAGGGTTGCGCTGCTGTTGTTGCTGCTGTTGCTGCTGTTGTTGCTGTTGCTGCTGTTGCTGCTGCTGCTGCTGCTGTGGTTGTTGTTGCTGCTGTTGAGTTTGGTAGAAGGGGTACTGTACAAGGGATGGATCGAAGCCCAGGCTGGCAGCATCCAGCGTTACGGCCTGCCAGTCGTAGACATCGCACACCAACTGTACAACTACATTATGTCATCGGCTGATGGAAGGGAGGCCGTCGCACCACCTGCACCAGCGAGGCCTCCCTCTTCACGCAGCTCATCAGCAATATGCCGCAACAGACACTGCACGTACTTCAAAGAACAGATGCATACTTTTAACACGAGGCACGCACTTGAACAATAGCCATACACTTTAAGACTAAGCATGTGCTTAAATACTAGGCACATAGTTTAATCAGCACATTAATAAAAGCAACATAGACACATAATTAAATGCTACTTTAATCGATTTACCCTCCCTTCCTTCTCCCAGCAATTCAATAAAATGTCATTATTTCTGGGTTGCAATTCTATCCATCAAAAATACATTCTCTTCCATCTCATTTTAAGCATATCTCTTGGGATTGTATATTGTTTAATTGTCTCATTTATACATTTTTAACTCCGATAACCTAGATACATTACCATGTTAATTTGCATGCAAGTTTGATCAATTGTGGAGAATCGATTCTCACACTCACATTATGATTATTGCATTGTCAACATAAGAATTGCAGCTATAATTAATATACTTTAACACTTGACACTATTGTTAAATGTTTATATTTTTTATGGATATCATGTTGTTAGGACTTAATTTTCACTTGCACTGTCGATTTTTCTGACCCAGATCTCAACTTAAAAATAGACTTAGTCTCAATGAGCTCTCACCTGATTATAAGTAAAGTTAATGAATGAATTAAGTCATCAATGAGTTAAGAGACAGTCTCCATAAGTACACAAACGAAATAGTGAATCGATATATTTACGTGCCTATTTAATACTAAATCCAAAGACAGATAACATTAAGCTACCGGAAGGCTTTCTCGGTGTGGATATGTGAAGTCCATTATGTGCAAAAAAAACATTAAAACGACAAAAGAATATTAAGCAGGGACAGTGAAAATAAACGATATTGGTGAATGCCAGTAATCCGCTACGATGGAGCACAGGGTCTGCGGCTGACATATTTGAGATTCCCAAATCTGCTGGCCTGTAAGGTAGTCTAGATTTAGCAGTACAGCAAATGGGTGCTGACTTACATGGAATTCCATGTAGGCTTGAGCTGCCAGGTGGCCAGGAGATAGCTACAGTGTTGCAATTAACCAACATCTCCGTGGAGTTTTGAGCACCCTCCCTTCACATGCATTGTGGGGTTTCTTCAGGCACTCCGGCTTCTTCCCATATGCAAAGCCCTTCCGATTTAAACATCCAAATTTAGGACTCCCCTAAAAGTCTTGGAACTCAGCGAGGTTTTCCTGGTTTAATACATATCGTTATTATTTTGATTTAAAGCTTTCGTGACTGCAGGGATTCATATTCTTGGTTCTTTCGGTAAAGTCACCACGTGGAAGGGAAACAATACAATAATAAAAATATAAAACAATAAAATTCTCACGACGTTTCGACTGCAACACAAGCAATCATCATCAGGTGTGAAAACCACAACAAGAAAATCTTCTTGTGTTGCAGTCGAAACGCCGTGAGAATTTTATTGTTTTGCATTTTTATTATTTGATTGTTTCCCTTCTACGTGACTTTACCGAAAGAACCAAGAATATATATTGTTGTTATTGTTGGGTGCAGCGGTGGCGCAGTGGTCAGCACATTGTGCTATGAACCAAGTGACCCGAGTGAGGTTCCCGTTCATGGCTAACATTAGCGGCAAAGTGATATTTGAACTTGTCTTGGGGCCCAATCCCCTCTTCACCAACCTGCACCGAGCGGCGTGTGGTGAATAATGGTCAACAACTGCAAGGGTTGGCAGTGCGGGGGGTAGGCCTTCGTCCAGCAATAGACTGCAAAAAGGACATACCTACTACAATCACCCAGGAATGTTTTTGTCCTTAACGCTTGTAACGTCACTCCACATCGAACAGCCCCCCCCTCATTAATATTCATGAGCAGGTGACGTCCTCTAAATGGACACCCCCCCCCTTCCCACCTCCATTATTATTACCTACTATAATGAGCCAAGAAAGTCTGTGTGCAACGCTCGTGACGTCACTCCACGTTGACCAGCCCCCCTCATTAATAATCATTAACAGGTGACATCCTCCAAATGGACACCCCCCCCCCCTCCATTCATAATAATTAGCGGCTGACGTCACTCCACGTGGGTGGCCGAGGCGCCTCCTCCCCCCTCCTCGGCGTCAACTTACAGCCCTCACTACAAAGGCAGAACCCTCACGTCACGTGATCTCCGTAGCGCTGTTGAGACATCGAAGTAAAAAGGACGTCGTGATGAACAAGGGATTATAACCTTAAAATGAAATAGGTCTGTGTCACCGCGCCCTTACAAATTGCACACGCATTGATGCAATGAATATATCACATCGCGCTCTGTGCTTTTCGCTTGCAAGTTTCAGATTTACTGCAATACACCCGTCCTTGGATGGGCAAAAGGCTCGTTATTATTATTCTCTTCCCCCTGAAGATTTTACATGCTGTATTCCTGCTAGCACTGCTGTTCTATGCCGGGGAAAAATACCACTCGCTAGGCTTCTTCGGCAGCTGGCGGCAGATGGTACGAGGATCAGGCGAGAGCTTGGTTTCTATTATATTGAGACTTGATTCGAAGCTTTCGTGACTGCAGGAATTTCTCTTTGGCGTGCGACGTTTCGGTTGTGTTACAACCGAAACGTCGTACGCTATTATGTTATTTTATTATTTCTTATTAATACGTGACTTCACCGAAAAAACCAAAGAGTTTTTATTATATTCTCTCATTATTGGCTACCCTCCCTCCTAGCCACTCGGCCATCCGCCTGTCTGTCGCCCACCCACCCACCCACATATCCAACCACTCACGCGCTCCTTCCCGCCCACTCGCCAACTCACCTACCCACCCATGGATTATCATCGAGCTTACCACAATCCCCCAGTTCATTTAAAAATGCAATGTAAGTAAGCTCACACTACAGAGGGAGCCAAAGGCTGAATGAATGTAGCAATTTCTGTGCTTGTAAGCGTTTGCTTGTATTTCTTTTCATTTTGAGATTTGAAGACGTCATTAAAAAAGTAACTGTGATTAGGAAATCTATGCATTGGCTTTGGCAATCCACATCGTTTATGATATACAAAGCGTTTTACAATTCCTTACAAATCTACTCCAAATGTGAACCACAATTTTCATCCTGTTTTAATAAATATCTGCCTTTGGCATACATGTACAGTCCTTTTGTCAATCCATTGTTGGATGAAGGCCGTCCAACGCTGTGCAGGTCGTGGGGCTTATTTGACCGTCCTCACAGCGGCTTCTGGCTCACCATCGAACAAAGACGGTCGCTTCATCGATTCCTTTCAGATGCGCTTCTGCGGGACGTCTGGAACGCTCTTCCTTCCAATATTAGGAAGCCACTGGAACTATGCACTTTCAAATGTAGATTGAAAACTCATTTCTTTAGAACAGCTTTTTGTGTAGAGTTTGTTATCCTTCTCCCACACCTTCGATTAACACTGTTGGATACCTACGGTGCGAAATAAATTAAACATACATACTCCACGCTGGTCAGTGCAGGTAATGAAGGTGGGGAGCATAGACATTTGGAGCACTGTCCTCTGCTGACTATGTATTCCCACAGCAGCCTGAACATTTGTTTTATGCATGGTAGTCATCTTCAGCTCAATCCTGCTTATCTTGTGAGATCTCATGGAATCAAGCACTGTAGCCCGACACCTATGCTCCAAACCGCACTGACCAGTGTAAAGTATACTCGAATAATCTCCATGACCCGCAGTGTCGTGAGGGGCCATCATCCCACAGCGAAATGACGTTCATGCAACTGCACCAGTCTGAAGGCAGTGCCACTAGAAGGGATCACGCAACTGATGAGCAACAAAATGAATGTTGGAAAATGAAGCCCAAGGTTTGGCGAAGAGGAGAGATGAGTAATGATGTGAGACAGTAGTGAAGCAGACTATAGCTGCATACAAACAAGTATAGTGCACTCTACATGAACAGATCCTTTATCCAGCAGTGGATAACGACTGGGTGATGATGCTGGCAAGAATAATGCTGATTGATAATGATGAAACTGCTGCCGCTGCCTAAGATAATGATGGTATGATGATTACGATGATGATGCTCATGGCAGATGCTGAATACTAGAGGTGATATGGCACATTGATTGATATCAATTGCTAAATTCACAATAAGTGAATCGAACCACCCGTTTAATATAAAATCAATACTTGTTTTTCAAGTCTTTTTGTTGCAATGTGTTAATCCGACCTCGCAGTAACTCGAGGCAATATCACTCAACACAACATTGAAAAATAAGCTGATCCTTAAATAAAATCGCAACCCTGAATGCTGCCAATTCGTTGAATTGCCGGGGCGCGGGGGATGACGATGTTGATGATTATTATGATGATAAGAATTGTGTATGATGATAAGAGTGCTCACCCGTGAGATGGGCGAGAGTGTCGGGGAGAGGGTCGGCGATGACTGCTGCTGTTGCTGATGCTGTTGCTGCTGTTGCTGCTGCTGATGCTGCTGCTGATGCTGCTGATGTTGCTGCTGCTGCTGCTGATGCTGCTGCTGCTGCTGATGCTGTTGCTGCTGTTGCTGTTGCGTGTGGGCATCTGAGCTCGGGGTGAGGGCCATGGTCAGAGGCCCCACGGGAGGAGGCCTGTTTCTCCGGGGGGAAGTCTGGCGTGCCCCCATGGCTGACACGATACATGGGAAACAAAGACAGCGTAGAGAGAGGTGAGGACATATTGGTCAAGGACCCCTTGTGCTGGTTCTTTGCAATATTGCTTTTTTTTGTTTTGTTGTTGCTGTTCTCACGCACCACGGATCGCCCAAGTGAAATAGCTGGGCTACCGGCTAAACAGGGTTATACATGTAACCAATCAAAATAAACTTAGAACATAAAATGAGGGGCAAAGTTGTAGGAGGGGAACAAAAGTGTTACCATAAGGCAGGAATAGGGAACCTTTTCCTCCTGTGGGACAAATAGCTAAAGGTACAGCCCTGCAAATGGTGGGTCATGCCACCGCTGCCAGGATATGGAACTGTCGACTTCTGGCTTATAAATCCTGTGTGATAACATAAAACACTGCAGTAGCTTCATTTTATTTGTGGGTAATACATCATAATGACTGTATAAATCTGAATACAAAAATCCTTAATAGTCCCTACTTTAAGGCTTCTATACAAACGTTCAGGAAGTGATTCATTAAACATCGACTATAAACACTGCACTGTGGCAAAAGGGTCACGTGCATGCACACACGCAATCGCGTGCAGTGAGGTTACAGCTGCCCATCTGTAAACCAAACAATTTCTAATACATTTTTTTAAAATTCTAGCCGTCACCACTTTCCAAATATTACCGAAAACACCAGACAGAACGGCGACATTATCGCATTTGAGCTAAAAGTTTTGGACGCTTGTTCAAGGGAGCACTTTTTGCCCAAAAAAACAGATGAGCAGCGTGGAAGGGGAATAAATAAACCAACATTTAAAACCCATTACGCAAACGCAAAAGCGCAGGTGCTTGTGTATGTCAAAAGTTCGACGCCCCTGGCGATTAATTTGATAAAGTCGTGGTTGCTGAAAACAGGTCTAAAGGCCGCAAACGCCAAGGGGCCAGCGACAAACAGCACTATGTGTAATAGATAAGAGTCGATACTTTTTTGGGAATTGAGCAAGATTCTAAGAACTTGGGAGGAGAGACGATGGGAAGGAATTCTAAAGTCGAGAAAAAATGCTTAGCGGCCAATAAGAAATAGCACGACTGAAGCTGTAATAGATACATGTTTTTTTTTTTAAATTCAGCCAAGTTATGTAAAACTTGGGAAAAGTGACTTTGTAAAAATAAAACGTCCTCATTGGAGCAGGGCGAGGAAAGAGTCAGATAGGTGTTATGACCGACTGCATGTTGCTTAAACAGTGTGGACGAGATGAAAGCGATAGGCTGGCAGACCCAAGTCCTCAAAGATGTCCTGGAGGAATCAATGAGTGAATTTCATGGGAAGAGCATCCACGGTATGAGCGTTGGACGCGTGATAAGGAGGTCATTGACCGCCGGCAAGGGTGATAAATAGGAGAGTGCTGGATTATATCAATCAATGTGACTTCTATACTTTAAAATTTTTATTAAGGTCGGAAATGTGGTCCACCCCAGACACGACAAAGGTAATTGGCCGAATTTGTGCTATGGTTCCGTAACGCAGAATCTTTACCACCAATGAGCACGAGAACGATTAACCGTGTTAAGATATTAGTTTGGCATCCCCTCATGTCAGGTAACGCACCTTCTTGTATAATAAGGCTTGACTTAAAGCTTTCGTGACTGCAGGAATTCATATTCTTTGGGTCTTTCGGTAAAGTCACGTAGATAGGTACAAATTAAATTAAAAAAAAACCTTCGACGTTTCGATCACAACACAAGCGATCGTTATCAGGAACAAAGAGGGGGAAAATCTTCTGAATGCAGACTGTTTTGTAGGGTGTAGTCCTCGGGTCATAAACGAAGTGGTCGGGGCTAGTGATGTTAATGTGAGAAATTAGCATAATGTTAATGTTAGATCGGAGAGTGGCCTCCGCGATGAATGCGCGGGTGGCTATGTTAATGTCAGAAATTAGCGTGTTAAAGTGAGAGATTAGCGTGTTAAAGTGAGAGATTAGCGTGTTAAAGTGAGAGATTAGCGTGTTAAAGTGAGAGATTAGCGTGTTAAAGTGAGAGATTAGCGTGTTAAAGTGAGAGATTAGCGTGTTAAAGTGAGATATTAGCGTGTTAACGTGAGAGATTAGCGTGTTATCGTGAGATATTAGCATGTTAACGTGAGAGATTAGCATGTTAACGTGAGAGATTAGCGTGTTAAAGTGAGAGATTAGCGTGTTAATGTGAGAGATTAGCGTGTTAAAGTGAGAGATTAGCGTGTTAACGTGAGAGATTAGCGTGTTAACGTGAGAGATTAGCGTGTTAAAGTGGGAGATTAGCGTGTTAATGTGAGAGATTAGCGTGTTAATGTGAGAGATTATCATGTTAACGTGAGAGATTAGCGTGTTAACGTGAGAGATTAGCGTGTTAATGTGAGAGATTATCATGTTAATGTGAGAGATTATCATGTTAATGTGAGAGATTAGCGTGATGTTAATGTGAGAGATTAGCGTGATGTTAATGTGAGAGATTAGTGTGATGTTATTGTGAGAGATTAGCGTGATGTTAATGTGAGAGATTAGCGTGTTATTGTGAGAGATTAGCATGATGTTAATGTGAGAGATTAGCGTGTTATTGTGAGAGATTAGCGTGATGTTAATGTGAGAGATTAGCGTGTTATTGTGAGAGATTAGCGTGATGTTAATGTGAGAGATTAGCATGTTAATGTGAGAGATTAGCGTGATGTTAATGTGAGAGATTAGCGTGTTAATGTGAGGGATTAGCGTGATGTTAATGTGAGAGATTAGCGTGATGTTAATGTGAGAGATTAGCGTGTTAACGTGAGAGATTAGCGTGATGTTAATGTGAGAGATTAGCGTGTTAATGTGAGAGATTAGCGTGATGTTAATGTGAGAGATTAGCGTGTTAATGTGAGAGATTAGCGTGATGTTAATGTGAGAGATTAGCGTGTTAACGTGAGAGATTAGCGTGATGTTAATGTGAGAGATTAGCGTGTTAACGTGAGAGATTAGCGTGATGTTAATGTGAGAGATTAGCGTGTTAATGGGAGATCGCAGAGCCACCGTGACGTAGAGGTCGGCGTCCGGAGGTGACCACGTTGGTGCGAGAAATTCAACCTGTTAATGTGAAATCGGAGATCCGAAGCCATTGGGAAAAAATAAAAAATTTAGATCGGAAGGTGGCAGGATGGGAACATCACAGCCAGTTATGACTTAAACTGGTTGATGACGTCTTTCCAATGATTGGTGGGATTGTACCCATCTTCTCGGTTGAAATTGTGTCTGTGTCTGTATATATATGGATGGCTTCATGAACGAATCTTTGTTGATAGCCAGTGGGCTTACAAAGTACCTTCGTCTTAGAGAAATCGATTTCGTGTGAGCCAACCGCATTAAAACAATGATCAGCCACGGCCGACGTGTTGGTCCTACCGTGTTTCAAATCTGCCTTATGCTCATGAACACGGTCCGAGATATGTCGCTTAGTTTCCCCAATGTAACTACTGTCGCAGACAGAGCTTAGTTTGTAGACGCCATACATAGCAGGCGTCACCAAAAAGATTTCCAAAATCTTGAGCAAACACAAGATCCAGGCTCGATTTAACACAGTACATAAAATTCATGATCTGATCCCGTCTGTGAAGGATAGTATCCCTGATATGCAATGAAATACAAGCTTCAAAAATCCAAAAGAATATCTATTTTTACTACCATGTGACAAAAATATTTCTGTAACATGGTGTATAGCAAAGTGCTGCCCAGTACAATGTGGATAAACAAAAAGGTCAAACTTGATTAAAATACATTAAACTTTATTTAGGTGTGACTGTGTGTAGCTTCATCACTTGTTGTGACTTAAGTCATCCTCCTACCCACTCTCCATAGTCCACAAAGGCTGGGAACGAATTACGAGTGGCAATACAACACGATGATACACGTAATGGAGTATACATGTGATGCTCGCCGATTGTGACGATACGAACCACTTACTGTAGACTGGGCTTGCGTGGCAGCAGCTACATGCAGCAGTGGGAAGCACGATAACACCAGGCACAGAAAAATGGACAGCGAAAGCAGCAAACTTTACAATCCCAGCAGCAGCAGCAGCAGCAGTCAGGTTCGTGAAGCCTTATCTAGCATGATATTCGCCCGATATGCTTCGGGCTTGAAGGGATCTTTGAAGTAGTTTCGTGATATCTGCCCCCAGGAGCTGCCCTTCAGCACAGAGGGTGATGCATTGTTCTGGAGAGTTCAGAATAAATTATTAATCTCTGTGACAAGAGACAGCAATTGAATTGGAGAAAAAGAATTGCTATTTTCTTTTGCAAAAAAATAAAAATTCCACACCAACCTGCAATAGTGGAACAGACTCTGTTAGGGTGGCCGTTCTCAAACTCGGGGGTCATGACCCCAAATTGGGTCATCACTCCAATTTGATGGGGTCACACTGGCGAGGATCCCCGCGAAACACGACACTCGCGTTCATTAACTCTGCGGTCATGGGGTCCCGCTTGTGTTAAATTTCAGGTCGTGACAGACAGTGGTGGTGCTAGCCCATTGGGGGCCCACAGCAGAATTATATTTGGTTTCAATTGATATACTCCAAGTGTGAGACGGCAGAGGTGATATAGACAAGAAACAGATGGAGTGAGATGACAGAAATGTGCACAAAATATATGGTACTAAGACGAAAGCTACGGAGAAGAAAGATATTATATACATTTCTGAGATGTATTCTTGGTTCTTTCGGTAAAGTCACGTAGAAGGGAAACAATAAAATAAGAAAAATATAAAACAATAAAATTCTCACGACGTTTCGACTGCAACACAAGCAATCATCACACCTGATGATGATATAGACACACCTGATGATTGCTTGGGTTGCAGTCGAAACGTCGTGAGAATTTTATTGATTTATATTTTTATTATTTTATTGTTTCCCTTCCACGTGGTGACTTTACCGAAAGAACCAAGAATATGAATCCCTGCAGCCACGAAAGCTTTAAATCAAAATTTCTGAGATGGTTGTGTTAATTGGCATTTCATGTTTACAAGGATCTTCATGTGATCTGATATTTTTTGCTTTTGCAGCTTTATTTTCTTCACGACTCCAGGGCTCCCCTGATCTGTTTGGGGCCTTAAGCTTTTTCCTGGTTTGCTTAAACCTCACGTCACCACAGACGATAGGCAATTGTCGCTATACCTTGTGCTGGCGGCACGATTCCCAGGTGGGTCATGTTTCCTCCACCGCCGCCGCCGCCGCCGCCGCCGCCGCCGTTTCCACTCGCGGCACCGTTGCCACCGCCGCCGCCGGTGAGCGCCGGGAAGGCAGATGAAGACTCGTCAGGGTCGAGCGGCGTGGGCAGCGGCGACGGGAAGTGAAGGTTGGTGAGGTCGGGGAGCGAGCCGCCCGTGTTGAGGGCACCAGGGACGTGTGGCACGCTTGACGCGTCTTGGTCACCCGACGGGAAGATGCTGGTGGGGGTTGTTAAGCACAGAGAGAGTTACGGTTTGATTGAAGTAAAAGTGCAGCCCTCCGATTACTTGCTCACACCGCTGCTGTCCACAAAGGAGTCCCCACTAGAGAAGGAGATCTAGAGATGCTCTCAAGAAGGTATTTGGTCTACTCCTCCACACCGGCCAGATGTTTGGGAAGAGATGGGTGTAATACAAAGCAGCATTGTAACTTTAAAGTCTATCGATAACAGTTTCAAACTCGTGTTGGACAATGTGACACTTTTCAGCCCGGTTGCACATCTACTTAGCATATAATGATTCCTCACCTCATCATTTAATATGTATTCTTATATTCATGACAGATACATACAATCATGCATGTGACAATAATCTGGATAAATAAATGATTCACAATCGATGGAAACAATATGCAAGCTATAGGCTTATCTTACATTTTGCCTAAATGAGTTAACTAAAATGTACGAAGGCAGAAATAATAAGAAACAACGCAAACGAGACAGTGACCCCCAAGTATAACTCATTGCTGCCGGGTGCAGTGTCAATTTTTAAATGCCGAATATAAAGCAACATACTTTTGTGATGTGTACCAATACGTTCAAGGTACAAAGTACATCAAGTCGGTTGCTGTAACTGTATGCAGAGGCTCACGCCTCAGTATAGATAAGGTGCGTGGAAGAAGTAAATTAACACAAGCCTAGTGTCTGCTTGATAACAGCCATGTGTTTGTCGCTTTTATCCATCTGGTGGTGTTCACCACTGCAATGTGGCGGACGAGAGGGATCTAGCAAACTCTCGACTAAGACAGCGGCGGGGTCAGGCTGTCTTAACAGCGCTTGAGCTGATACAAAAAAAACGAATGAGGCGGTGAGTGCCTACGTCTGGAGATGGATCCCTGATTATATTACGAGATGAAAATAAGCATGTTCTGTGCATGTATGTGTGCGCTCTCTACCAAGGGGACTGCTGGATTTGAAGTGTTTGAAGCAAAATAAACCCTTAATATTTGCGGGTGGCTACTTTCTTGGAGAACGGCGCATATGTTAAATCCGCGAATGTGAACAAGTTAGGGGAAAAACAGGGTTATAGGGAGCACAAACATATATCATTAAGCTTACAAGTAAGATTTAACTTGCCTTTCATAATGATGGATGTAAACATTTAAACGTGCCAATATCACTGAAGAAATGACTTGTACAGTACGCAATTCCAAAGAAAATTGTCAAGGAAAGTACTCGCGTGCACACAAAGCCAGACTGAGCGGGAGAGCGGCATAGCCGTGGGCTATTTTTGCACTCTCACCATCCACGCCGCACCACACGACAGCAATTTTTGAAGGGCAGCAGCACGCTGCGGCTGCGAATATTTTAAATACAAACCCGCGAATTTCAAATTGCGCTTCAATAAATTTTGCAGTGAATATATGCAAAAAGCGCAATTATAAAAACCTCGGAATCGAGGGTGTACTGTAGTACGCATGTCTTCATGGTTGTGCTGTATAGCTCTCTCGTGCCGAAACAGCATACGATAGAAACCCAAAAAAAAACAGATCAGAGAGTGTTGAAATTATTTTCTTGGTTCTTTCGGTAAAGTCACGTAGAATGGAAACAAAAGCAGTAAAAATAAAACGTAATAAAATAAAATACTTTGTTTCCATTCTACGTGACTTTGCCGAAAGAACCAAGAAGATGAATCCCTGCAGTCACAAAAGCTTTAAATCGAAAAATTTGTCAACTCCAATGGGAGAATGCTGAAAACAAAAGCTGGCACGAATTAAGCGCCTCACCCTCGGAATGTTCAAAAGGACCTTCTACCCATCCACAACAAAACCTACAAATTCCCGCTGCGCACAACCCTTAATTACCAAACATCACTGGCTCCGGCTCATGAATTTCCCCAGGTGTAGAGCCCTAATGAGGCGTCGGAAGACAAAAAAAAACCCCAACAAGACTGAAGCCATATTCTTAGCTCTTTCGGTAAAGTCACGTTGAAGGGAAACAATAAAAAATATAAATAAAACAATAAAAAATTCTCACGACGTTTCGACCATAACACAAACGGTCGTCATCAGGTGTGAAAAAAAACAACGGCAAGAAACATTTGCCGTTGTTTCCCTTCAACGTGACTTTACCGAAAGAGCTAAGAATATGAATTACCGCAGTCACGGGAAAGCTTTCGATCAAAATTTTAAGACTGAAGCTGTTGGGCACCGGGCCGCATCACGCACGCGGTTAATTCCGGCAGAGCGTGCACGTCGCGCGTGTTCATCCATTGAGACCTACTTGATGTCGGGGACTTCGCACGACTTTGGTCGAGACGACGACGATGTCGTCGATGGTGATGCGTTCTGTGTAGAGAGCAAAAAAAAAACACCCCGAAAACAATGTTAAGGAAATTTTTTTTTTAAGGTGCAGCCCAGCAAGATCTTAATAATCGTAATAATGCCGTGCCAGGAGGTTGAATGGAACTGGCAACCTCGGAATTGCAAGTACATTCTGCAAACACGAACACCACGGCAGCATTCGTATGTCAAGAAAGGTCTCGTGGAATATAATTCTGTGGTTAGTGCTGTAAGTAGATAACTATGCCTGCATGGATAAAATAAATATTCCCCATTACATTTGAATAAAGCGTGAGTTTTCTCCATCAGCGAGCCAAGCCAAGAGTCCTCGCTGGCCACAACTGGGCCGTGATCCAACCAGTCGAGTTACCAAGTGTATAAATAAGCAAGTACAGTAATAACCTCGATTTACGTCTCCCCCATTTTACGCCGTTTGGCAAATACGTCGTCACTTCACTAATACCGCCACCTGATTTGTCTTGCCTCAACCCACACTTACGTTGCCGAAAGCATTATCCGTCCTTTCTTGGAACCCATCGCCTCTCAGACGTCGCCTCCATCTACCCTGTAAATCACTTTGATTTACCTCCTTTCGATATTTGTCATCGCATCCCCGGCGTAAACCGGGGTGGGGGGGGGGGTATTACTCTATTTATGCCTTGCACCCAAGGGCTTGATTTCTCACCGAATGCTTTCTGGGTAGCCGGTGGACTGGAGCAGATGGCACGTGACTCGTAGCCACAGCTTAAGCAAGAGAAATGCGCAGTGTCCCGAGTGTGGAAACATTTACTTGATCGCCGACATGCACCTTCCTGGTTGAAATTAAGCCCTACTTGCGAACCAATCCAAAGTCTGAAGATGGCCCAGGAAGGTTTTCACTGCGCTGCGAATATCCCTCAACTGCGGCCCACCCTGGCAACACTCAAAACTCCGCGGGACTTTTGCGGCTCCACGCTGTGTCTGTGCGACTCACCTTGGTCTCCCAGGCCTGCTTGTCGACGGCCGCCTTGTCCACAATCAAAAGCCCCTCCTCTGTGGAGCACAGTAGAGTTGACCCATGTCAGACAGCTGCTCGTGATTATATCGCCTCATCCGTACTGCGTTAAACCACCACACTGCAGGTCAAACCACTTCTTGAAATAGACTTCTTTCTCACACTCCTCGACCTTCGAATGAGATTCCATTGTCTCTAATCTCGTGTTATTAAAACTTATGCTCGATTTCAAGAAACATTATATATTACAACTTCATGAGTGACGTTTGTTGCTGACCACTTGGCATTTTGGGCCTTTGCAAAAAAAACAACTACCGTTAAATAACGATCGTCTCAGCTTGGTCACTACCAATTTTCTGTTCTTGTTGACATGATAGCCCATGTAACCTTGTCTTGATCAGCAAAAGTTAGAATTTAATTTAAATGAGGTTGCAGTGAGTTTCAGACCAACGTATACCTTTTTTTCCTTAGTGTTGGATTTCATGGCAATCGGAGCGACGAAGACAAGAACAGTGTCATGATAACATGGGAAAAAAAAACGTTACACCATTTAACCGCAGCTTTAGATACACATACCAAATATCTGGGAGGCTCAACCAAGACACAAGGTCAGCTGGCAACCCCTCTGGCTTTAGACAGCCACGTGCACTCAACCACCCGCCCTGCCCATGCGGTGGGTAGCCGCGCTGTTTGTGATCATTGGCTTGGCCTTTTGCTCATAGATGCTGCCTGTCTCATCTGCCAACCCTGCTCACTATGCAAATAGCCACGCTCTTTGCTCAGCATCATGAGTCGAGCATGAGTCCAGAATAATTACGGAATAATTTAAACTAGGACAGAATCTCGTGTTTCGCAAATTCTTTGGGATACGTTGGGTCAGGCTTTCTGAAAATGGGGCTGTCACTGGCAAGCCATCTCGTGTTTCGCAAATTCTTTGGGATACGTTGGGACAGGCTTTCTGAAAATGGGGCTGTCACTGGCAAGCCATGACGTTTGGTAACTTTAGCTTTATATGGGCACATCATTCAACCTACACATCGTCTACCGTTAAAACTGTACAGGTACTCGATGCGAAACAGAAGCAGCCCAATTAGGATTAAGGCGCCCCTTGACAGAATATGCACTGCAGGGTGGGTCGACATTGAAAGCAAAGATGTAACTTACAGCCCAATAAAAGTCGATTTTTATAGACCAGTATTGATCTAAATAATTGAGCTGAAAATTGCCAATTGTTACATGTGGGTTTTACAAAGCGTTTCAATTATTTTGTATCCAAGACAAAACAATGCATTTGATGGTTATAGATTTAAAATAACACAAGCCATGATAGTAGTGGGGGTTTGTTTGACCATACTTCACCACACTGGTCAGTGTGGGCTTGGAAGCGGGGGCGGGTTTAGGATTGGTTCAGATATCACTTGCCACTGACATCAGCCATGAACCGCAATTGAACTTGGTTGACGGGTTCATAGCAGTGTGAAAACCACTGCACTACTGCTCTACCAGGCTTATAATTAGTTTTTATGTAATTTTGTTTAATGATTTCAGGTCATAAATTTGAGAATTGTTGCGAGCTGAATTAACATCAAGTATCACACAGACATCTACGGAGGGCACAACCATACCTCACAGCTTCAGCGTGTATCCGAATTTTTCTGAAGCACATTAATCCCGCTGGGTTATTACATTTATTTTTGCCTACGTGACTTTACCGAAAGAACCAGAGTACAGGAGCTTTACCATCCCCGTCTCACAACACCCCCACCCCCACCCTGCATCCGTCCTCCCTGGCTTCTCCCCCCCTCCTCTTACCCTATATAATAATAATCTCTTATCACAAATAGCTCTCTTTACTGTAATGTTGCTGTGCTCGTGACACCTGATGACGGAAGCTTGTGTTGCCTCCGAAACGTCGTGATTTGATTAACTTTATTTTTTATTTTTACCTACGTGACTTTACCGAAAGAGCCAAAGAGTATGGGATCATTGCAGTCACGAAAACTTCAAATCTAGATATCGCATATGTATTCTTTAGTTGTGTTTTTACTGTCTCGTAGAATTAGTAGTAGAGCCGTGTCAATCAACTGCTGGACGAGGGTATCCCCATAACACACGGATCGTGGCTGATATTTAAACATACTTCACCACGTTGGTCAGTACGGGTTATTCAATGTGAGCATACACGTGGGAGCCATTTAAGTACAGTACAACAGTAGATTTTTGTTGTTGTACTACCCTCTGCTGCCCATCACGAAAAACCTGTGGCCGATAACACATTTTTCATGCTGGTCACCTATCCAAGCCCTATCCAGCCTCATACCTGTTCATTTTCAGAAATACGGCGATATCAACTGCCGACTTTTGGTCATAGGAGGATTTGACCGAGGTCACCGAATGCGTGGAGCTGCCCTCCCGGACGCTGGTCCAACCTCCTCCCTGTCCGTAACACATCAGGAGAGGACAAGAACCCAATGCGTGCGCTATACACGCGCCGACGAGCATTACCGTTCCGCCGTGCTGGCTGTGCGGTCGCTGCCTGCTGCCCAAGCACCGAGAATCCGTCTGGCGGCGTCGTGGTGACGGCGCTTGTGTGCAGCGCCGAGTCCGAGTTCGTCCTGTGAGGAGGGGCAAGCGGCAACACCACCACCACCGCCACCGCCGCCGCCGTGATGTCAGTAGCCGGGTGGGGAAAAGCCCGACCGCGGTCATTAGCAAATCACTCTGCTCTGAAAAGCCAGTTGTAGAATTACACAGAAACGTTACCATCAGATGCAATATAGGAAACCAGACAAAGCTAAATCACAGATAATGCACAACTTATGTCAATTGGTCTGTGAAAAGACGTTTATTGCTTGCACCAGTGAGTTCGGCAGTATCTCACCTGCGCCAGCTGGTGTCGGGAGGAGGTGACAGGTAGATGGAGCCATACGGCGAGCTGTCCACGTGATTTCGTAACGTTAAGGAAAACATCCGTGTGAAATTTGGTCAGTGCCATCCTTCATCAATTCTAGTGCTGGACTATACACCTAGACAGTGTGTAGCAACATCCACCCTCCTGCACAAACCCCTAGGGTCACCAGTGAGATGCTGAGACTCATTACATCTCGCAGAGGATTGCTCCACCGAACAAATTAGTTCCATGGTTCGGTTCACAAGAAAAACCAAACGTTCAGACGGTTAAAAGTGTAGATGTTCGTAAATCGGACGTCCGTATCTCAGAGACCGTCCTCCCAGCCAGATAAAAACAATATTCGTTTCTCAATAACTTATACTTAGCATACAGTAAATACACAGTTAAGATAGATAAAACACTGCATATATAAAAGCATGCACAGCTCCATGCTTTTCAGATCACAATGAGAAATATAAATGGGAATACATAGATCAGAGAACATACCCAAGTTAACGTCATCATACTGCTGCTAGGAAAATGAAAAGAGCTTGGTTAAGGACTCTTCACTAGAAATCATTGCCAGTGGTAGAAACTAAAAACGATGGAGTGGTAACCAAAGGAGGGAATGGGCCAGGGAGAACCACAATTAAAATAGAGCAATGAAATCAGCTCATGTACAGGAGCCAGATAGTTCGTTGCAGCGTGGGGAGGGGGCTTCATAAGCAGATCATGGCTGATGACAACGACGATGAGGACACACAGCAGCATGTTCGAACTACTTCTGTGCAAATACGTTTCCATCCTGATGCTGGAACCCTGCAACGGTAACACCTTGGTTCGATCAGCAACACATTTACCAGCATCGTAAAAAAAGGATCCAATTCATGTGATCACGGGAAAAAACCCACGCGCTCATCTTGGCACCGATCCAACCCGAGAGGCAGACCTTGCCGACAGGTGGGTCTCCCCCATCCCCCCAAACATGGTCGGTTTAGGGCTGGCAAACATCACACCGCTCCTCAGAGGCAAGCAGAGGCCAGATGGTCGCATTTACCGACGTGTATTTAACAGAGTCCGCAAGCAACACAATCCGTAGTTTTCTTGTCCATTATAAAAAGCTTACTAAGAACACTGTGGCTAATTACACGGCAATATTCCCTCCACCCCATCACCACTGCCTTACCTCTGCCCACAAAAGCGAGAAAGAAAAAGCTGGCGTCAAGTTACAATGGTGGAGTAGGGGTTGACCCGGTCGTGTAGCATTACTTAATTTAAAGAGGGGGGGGTCACAACACAGCTGATGTTAAGCTAACTTTTAACAAACGCTAAACAGAATGCGTAATGATAACATCTGCTTCATTGATAATGCATTCTGCTCAAGGAAAGGATGCAGTGCCCATTGCTTCATTGTACCAATTTTGGAGCAACAATTTATAACTTGACTAAAAGAGTTTAAAAAAAATGGGCCGAGCCTTGAGCAGCGGGAGATCAACCCCCTCCAGCACCTGCAAGGACACTACAGGGCTCGGTTGGACTGCATCTTCACCTTACCTCAGGTTTGCAATTGGACGAAAATAGCAGCTGGCAGACCAATCTACCACATGTCTTGTTCAAACCAAGCTTGGTTAACTGTGACATTCAATGCACTTGTGCTCCTAGCACCTTCATTAGATTAACACTAATGCTATTTTTGTTTACACTGCTCCGCTTTGTTCCAATTTGCGTGTCAGATGGAGACAACGGATGGCATCTTGACATGTTTGTGTGGTAGAAAAATCGCCGCCTGAGTCAGCGCTAGGCTACGCCTTGGGGTGTGCAGGGTACATAACAGAACAGAGCTAAGAGCAGCGCAAACATTGACTCCCTTTATTAAAGTTAACCAGAAAAAAAAACACCGTGTCCAATTTACGGGTCTATTTATACTGCGGCCTTTGTTAGATAACACCATAAATGTCCTCTGCCACCGCACAAAACCAGGTGAATCTCATTAGGCATGGTATTTTTGGGTGCCTTTGGTACAAAATTATTTATAGGTATCAAAGTTTAGGCTGGACATTCTTTGATTAATATCATGATTGAAGAATGCTTTATTTACCACTGTACAAAAATGTTGAATGTGTCTCAAAATGTTACACAAATAAATCCATGGCTCCCCTTTACAATTCTGTTCATCGTGAATCTTTGAAATGCCTTTCCTCCCTATTTGTAGTGATATGAATAAGTATGAAAATATTCCACATTAAATTGAACTCATTAAACCGCTAAGCCACAAAACCTCTCAAAGAAAAGTGAGCGAAAAAATGTTCTTCAAATTCATGCACATGAAAAATTCATTGTGGAAACCCAAATGTCCCATCATTACTTTTAATGATTCTCTACAAATATGGAAAATTCCTCCATCTGCAAGCACAAAAATCTCAATAATTTCAGTCCATACGAAGCCACAAGCCCCCCACCACTCACAGCCATGTAAGTCAGTGATGAGCCCACTACAATAACGAGGTCAGTCTCCCCAACAATATCAGGAAAAAGCAATCACCCTTTGTCAACCCAATAGTGGATGAAGGCCTCCCACACAATGTGGGTTATATGGGGAATCTCTGACCAATGGTCAGTACAGATTCAAGGATACATAAAAGGACAGTACAACAATGGATGTTTCTGTGTAGTCTACCACAGCCATAATGTATGGTGGCTGCCCATTCATGCATTATCCAGGCTCAAGCTGCTTAGCTTCAAGCATTCTTTGGGATTTAGTCACAGGCAAATAAATGAAAATGCCACCCAAGATAAAAAACACGTGTTTTTATATTACAGGTAGTCCTCTACTTACGATGGAGATACGTTACGACGACCCCATTGTAAGTCAAAAATATCGTAAGTCGAAGATGGCCTAGCCTACCCAGGAGTCTTAAAGAATGGTGATAATTTAGCAAAAGAGCAATTTACAGTACTGTACTGTATACACGATATACTGTATGCATTTATTAATTACCATACTGTATTGCACAGTAAAATGTAAAGTAAAAAAAACAAGGTAAATTCTAAGCCTACCTATATGAACTGCAATTTAATAGAAAGTTTTTTTTAGGAAACAATCCTATCTGCTATAAAAAAAACTATTAACATGCATTGAACGTATCGTGTCGTGGTTAACCCTAAAATGAAATCCCAACGTACAGTATCGTACCTCGTACGCTGCTGCGTTTGCCTGCCGCGCGAAATTTTAAATATTTAACAATTTTGTCATATCGCTATCGCCATCGTAAGATCGAAATATCGCAAGTCGGACCGTCGTAACTCGGGGACTATCTGTATATATTCATGCCTAGGCTGTGGGTTCCAGGTTGCTGACATTCATTTAAGGTTTTTTTTAATGAGGGCGAAAAACTTTAAATCCATGCGTTAGCAGCGTAAGATGGCTAGGAAAAGGCCTTCACCTCGCGGAAGATTGATAATCACTGATGATAGAGCGCTTTGTTTTTTTTTGGGGTCTCTTTCTTTAAGAATGCAAAAGAGTTCGCAGGAATTCTTGGCCGAGACAGTTTCCAGCTCGTCTCTATACGTCACTAGCTTAGAAGTCTGTGCTGTGCCTCAGGCTGTGTGTTGGGATACATGTAAACAACGCAAGCTGACAGCCAAGCCAGCCGGAACGCCTCTCTTATCTGTCACCGAGTGACTTCCTCCAACCAACTCGAGCTGTTGCTAATCTCCAGGAAACAGCCCGACGACTATGATGTCTATCGCCCCGGGGAATGGGCATAGCGACCCATCAGTGTCATTTTGACGTTGAGTTTTTTTCTCTAAATATATTTGTGCTCTCAAATGACGTGCCAGTTACACTTGTGATAACAATTCTGGGGTAAATGGAGTAAAAAAATAAACCCATAATTGAGTGAAAAAACACGCGTGCAAGCCAATTACTCCAAGAGGAATGGGTGATATTTGCATCTTTTCACTTCATTACATTACATTCAAGTATTAATCACTTACACTTGCCAACACATGAATTAGATTTCATCTGCACTACAGTAATAAGTTATAATGGCTTTTAACAATTGAACTGGAGGGGATTTAAAAATATCTTTTTCTACATGCATACAAACTAATTACAAAATCACCCTGATTGCACTCAATAATATTGTAACTCAGAAGTTAAGCAGGTTAGAGCAACCACCTGATATTCGTGATGGGTTTTTTCCAAGTCGTCTGGTTTCCTGACACATGCTAAACATTCATTACCACTAAAACATCCCAAGGCAATGGTACCCTCCTAAACACGAGTCTTGTAGACTCAGTGAGGCTTTCCTGGTTTAACAAAATTGTCATTCAATAATACATAACCCACAACATATACTTTGGAAGGGTCAAACTTCTAAATGAAATTTGCTATGTACATTGAGGGATAAAAGTATTTGATCCCCTGCTGATTTTGTACGTTTGCCCACTGACAAAGAAATGATCAATCTATCATTTTAATGGTAGGTTTATTTGAACAGTGAGAGTCAGAATAACAACAAAATCCATAAAAACGCATGTCAAAAATGTTATAAATTGATTTGCATTTTAATGAGGGAAATAAGTATTTGACCCCCTCTCAATCAGAAAGATTTCTGGCTCCCAGGTGTCTTTTATACAGGTAACGAGCTGAGATTAGGAGCACACTCTTAAAGGGAGTGCTCCTAATCTCAGCTTGTTACACGTTTAAAAGACACCTGTCCACAGAAGCAATCAATCAATCAGATTCCAAACTCTCCACCATGGCCAAGACCAAAGAGCTCTCCAAGGATGTCAGGGACAAGATTGTCGACCTACACAAGGATGGAATGGACTACAAGACCATTGCCAAGCAGCTTGGTGAGAAGGTGACAACAGTTGGTGCGATTATTCGCAAATGGAAAAAACACAAAATAACTGTCAATCTCCCTCGGCCTGGGGCTCCATGCAAGATCTCACCTCGTGGAGTTGCAATGATCATGAGAACGGTGAGGAATCAGCCCAGAACTACACGGGAGGATCTTGTCAATGATCTCAAGGCAGCTGGGACCAT